TTAAAATGCGCACAAAATTATACCGGTAAACTTGTTTACCCCAAACAAGAGATAGTCTTCATCAAACAAAATAAATAAATTTAAATAGGTCAAAATATTCTTCTTGCATTTTTAAATCACTGAACAGGAAGAATATAGAACAGTTTAAAATTTTAAGCTTTAGAAGGCTGTAAACTAATACCTAGTAAAATCTGGAAAATAATCTAAATTTCCTTCACTCCACAAACCATACTGTGTTCATCCCAAAAAATGCAACACTTATTTTCCGAACTGTTATGACTAGAAATAAAAACTGACGAGGCGCCAAAGGCTATATTTCACTTAAGGGTTGACATGTGGTTTGGGCTAATTGATGGATAAAATACATCAACAAGTGGGGTGGTTTGGAAACAACAAACCATCTAGGCTAACACTTGTGCCCATCTGCTCCCCCCCCCCCCTCCCACTGGTGTTTATACTTCAACACTACAACATCATTACCCTTCCAGGAACATCGCAACGATCACCTCCAGTTTATTGAAGTAGCCAGAAACTCAATTAGTTAACGCTTAATTGGCTGTTTAATCACCGTCAATTACTTCTACGGATACACATTATGACACTAAAGCCGGTTCCACTTACGACGTCAGTTAAATCTTAAACTATGTAAGAACATTTTTTTAAATAGACAATGTGGCAATCTATTTTGTTAATAGCTTAAAATATTGAAATACATATGCTGGTTTTCTTAGAACAAATAGAATCAATACCGTAGTAGACCGATTGGCGATTACCAAGTATATGTGGCTGTGAATCACAGACAAGGACAACCCAATGGTGACCAAGACTGCATCAATTAGAGCAGGAAAACACTCACTGACCTATTGTGTTTGTATTTTAATATAATAAGCTATAGGTTAAACTAGACGAATCTTTTTTGAACGGCAAGTTATTTTTAAATACAAACCACTAAAAAATTGTAGTTGGAAAACGCTTACTTCAGAAGTTTATTTTGCTAAAGTAAGATGAAAGTCGCATGATGATACTAGATTAAATACCAAAGGCGATCTTGAAGCAATCACTAGATGGATTTGTATTTCATTTTCCCGTTATTTTCCATTACGTATTTGTTACTGAAAGAATGAAATTCAAACTGCATTAACTATACTAATTAATATTATCATTATTATATTAATATTAGACATTGTATTAAGCATGGAGGGCACCACCATGGACAGGATCGTCACCGCCCTTTTTCCGTCTCATCCTCGGCGGCCTTTTTTCGATTATGGCGAGGTAGGGGACATTCCACTCTTTAGCATTAAAGAGCTGGAATCATCTGTCCTCTCCCTAAAAAATAGAAGGGCACCTGGTCCAGATGGTATTCCCAGTGAGGCTCTCAAGAAGGTATTCTCGGTTAACCCCCTCTTACTGCTGAGAATGTACAACACATGCCTGTGCGAAGGGGTTTTCCCAACTCTTTGGAAAAGGGCTAGGCTTGTGCTAATCAGCAAGGGGAAAGGTGACCCGAATATGCCGTCGTCTTACAGACCCCTCTGTATGTTGGATGTGGCCGGAAAACTTTTCGAGAAACTGATCCGCTGCCGACTGACGTCTGCCGTGGAAGCTGCAGGAGATTTGTCTCCTCGTCAGTACGGCTTCAGAAAGGGTCGGTCAACAATCGACGCGATATCCGAGGTACACAGAGCGGTAGAGCGTGCCGAGAGCTTCAATCATTACTCTCGCCGTGTCGTGCTTCTTGTTACGCTAGATGTCAAGAATGCTTTTAACTCGGCGAGATGGGTCGATATGTTGAGCGCGTTGAGGAACAGCTTCCGCGTACCAGCATATCTGTTGAGGCTGATCGAGGACTACCTGCGCTGCAGAACTCTTAATTACGAAACTAAAGATGGTTCGCGGACGATGGATGTTACTTCCGGTGCCGCGCAAGGTTCGATACTTGGCCCAGATTTGTGGAACGCTGCCTACGACAGCCTTCTGAGATCTGAGATGCCAGAGGAGACCGTTTTAGTTGGGTACGCCGATGACGTTGCGGCCCTCATTGCTGCACGCAACGTTGAGCTAGCCCAACTGAAACTGAACCAAGTCATGCGCGTTGTAAATGCCTGGATGACTGATCATGGTCTGACACTCGCTCTGAGCAAGACAGAGATCGTCATCCTCACGAAAAAACGGATTGAAACCGTCGTTCCGCTACGCGTTGGGAACGTAGTTGTCCAAACCACGCGAGCCGCCAAGTACCTCGGTGTCATGGTGGACAACAAGTTGAGCTGGAGGGACCAGATCTTCCGTACGGCGGACAAGGCTGCTAGGAATGTGTCGCTGCTCTTAGTAGGCTTATGGCCAATGTCGGTGGTCCCCGGTCCAGCCGTAGAAGACTATTGCTGTCTGCAGTCCAGTCTGTGCTTCTCTACGGCTCTGAGGTGTGGGCAGACGCGCTTAACAAGGAGGCGTACAGGTTGAGGCTCGCACGAGTGCAGCGTCAGGCGGCACTCAGGGTCGCTTCCGCGTACCGTACGGTGTCCGAACCGGCCGTTTTGGTGATTGCTGGAGTTATCCCTGTCAAACTCTTGGCAGCAGAGAGGAAGGCAATCTACCAGAGACAAGGCTACATCGGAAAGGACGCTGCAAGAACGGAAGAGCGCTCCCGCACTTTTCAGATGTGGCAAGAAAGCTGGGAAAGGGAGACTCGAGGACGTTGGACTGCTAGACTCATCAGACAGGTCCAACCGTGGGTGGAACGGCGGCACAGTGAGGTTGACTATTACCTCACGCAGTTCTTGTCAGGTCACGGCTATTTTCAGTCGTACCTGCACTTGATGGCCAAAACGAATTCACCTGATTGCATTTACTGCCCATGCATTCCCGACGACGCGGAACACACTTTTTTCCGCTGTCCACGATGGGATATGCTTCGCCAGGAGGCCATTCAACATCTTGGGGTGCTGTCGATTGAATCGATTTGTGAGACCTTGCTGAAGGGTGAGGACAACTGGGACTGTTGGTCGCACTTTGTCCGGAATGTCCTTCAAGCTAAAAAGAACGATCTAGATCGGATCACAGTCTAGATTTTACAAGAAATAAACGGCTAGACACGGCGTAAGCCCCTCGGGCGTAGGCAAACTCGGCCTAGTTCTGATGAAGTGCGACAAGTGTTCCCAGGCTAGTGTCCGAAGAGTAGAGGAGGTTTTTAGTGGGTAGTCTCTGGGCCTTAAGCCCGTTGGAGTCCCACACTACAGGCTAGCCACCTGTGTGCATAAATGCATTTTCCCACCTCTCCCTAAAAAAAAAAAAAAAATTTTATTAAGCATATGACATTCCTGGTCATAGTTGCCCAACAAAGTACTTTTGACGTCTAGAATCAGTCCCTCCAATGCTTGTGGATTCGTATTAATAAAAATAGTTATAATTCACTATATGAATGTCTTGAGCTAGATAGAAACTCATAGATTGCTTTGCCAAATATTTTGCTGTTATCAACATACTCGTACTGTATTTCAAATTTTAGCTGTTAAAATCCCAATCTGTTAATAAATTATTTGAATTTATGTTATTATACATTGAGTGTATAGAAATACTGGTAATTTTATTGTAATACGACTGTGTTAAGAATATTATTAATATATCAAAAAATAAAAAACAAAACGGACATGGGAGTTAACGCTTATCATGCCGCTAGGTAGGCCTAGTTTGACGATTTAGTTCTTGCGTTAAAATCCAACCCTGGATGAACCCCCTAGTGATCCTATTTTTCTCCTTCAAGATGTTCTATTTTTTTAAACAATTATTAGAAAATACAATGTAGCCTCCTGGTTTTGTCAACAATAATACCACTTTAATAAAAGACAATACGAATACAAAACTTGACGACTTGCTATGACGACCCATACAGAAAAGATTCATTAAGATTTGCTAACTTCAAAAAGTCCAAAAATAAAACTAAAAAATTATCTGACAGGTCCTACAAACCAATTTTAAAATGCCAACCAAAGCCTCAAAATTGGATAGTACCAATATCGTCCATTGAGAAAACAAAAACACATGATCAAGTAATAGGAGTAAGAAATAACAAAACCTAATTTAAATTAAAACGGTGCGAGTATATGATGACACTATTAGCAGGATCATAAATTTTTATTATGTCTTCCAAATTTAACTGCATACTACAACTACATTTTGTCAAACCATTTAAGAGACTTAATAATAGTCAGTGAATGTCAACAATATTAAAGCTAGGGTTGAATGAATATTATTGTATGAATGTTAGACAGTTTTGTGTTAATTTTTTCCATGCCCTTAACTATGACTCTGAAGACCAAGTAAAAGGGTAACTTACAAATAACCCAACAAAATTCATTGATGTTTAGATTTAAACACATACCACTTTTCTTAATTTGTTAGAAGATTAAAAACGAGTGCAATCACCCCTACGCAAGCTCGGCAGGTTTTAAAGAACCTGATAAATGTGGTAGTACAGGTAGTGTTCATCTTCATCAATTAAAACACATTCATTACCTCGTACACCTTTAAATCGCTGCATGAACATTTGATCTCATGTTTAAAAGTGTATTAAGCATCCATACGTATGTATAGCCTATGAAAAATGTTTGCTATTATTGCTTAAGTTGGTTACAAGTTATTTATAGATCGCTACGCTGCATGCATAAAAATTTAGGGCTTTATTAACTTAACACAACCAAAAATAAGTTAATAATTTGTTCGTATTTGAAATTACTCTGTTTTCATAAATTGATTATCTATCAAATATAAAACAAACATATCAATAATTGTTATAAACCAAGCAATTACAAATTGCACAAAACTATAGGAGGATCCCACCCATATATACATTAAATACACATTTTATTAGTGTATTTTGATGTTTTAAATCATGGGTAAAACCCACTCTTAGGTTAATTTATTCCTTTGAAGTTTGGTGTAGGGGAAATAATAGGAACCATAAATAAAACCATTAGGACATTTATTAAAATAAAATAAGCACAAAGCATTTTTAAGGGCCCTATGCATACACACAAGGAAGAGAAGTTATAGATTATAATGAAAAAATTCTATTTACAACCAATAAATATCTCCACCATACATTTTTAAATTACAATCAAGTCATAAACAAATAATAATTCTAAAGTTATATTTCAAACTGTACTTGCAGATCAAATATAGCAGACATATATAGTTTTGTAACAAAATTTAAAAAAAATTACCATTCTCCTGATTCAATATTTTATAGGTACATTTCATCCACAATATTTTCAAATTTCATAAAAATTGAAATCAAACACTATTACTTATAAAAATATGATATGATAATTATTGGCTTAAAACTTTTGTTAAAGAAAACATATGCCATCTTTTATGAAACAGTTTGAGTTTAATCATTTAAAATATGGAATCCTTCTTTCCATAATTTGCTTTTATTACATTTATTTCTTTAACAAGTGACTGCTAACAATATCACTTTTCAAATAACCTTAATATCCTGAGATGCCTTTAAACAATTTTATAAATACGCAACACCATTAAAACTAGGTATTTGCAAACAAAAAAGTATAAAATCACATTAAATAATGTATGTCTGTTGGTTCATCACTGTCAGGATTATCAGATGTATTTTGTCTGGGTCAGTTTGCTGTCTCCATACGAGGGGTCCATCATACGCGACCAGTCAGTTTGACCAACAACGAAACCAATCGCTCTCATCTTCTCTTGCTCTTGCCTTTCTTCCAAATCTGCCCAACGAACCTATCAAACAAATTTATTCGTTTAACTCTGAGCTTCAAATCAGAAGATGAATCTTCACATCATAATTTGTTTACATGATTTCATAATAATAATTTACCTATCCAAAAATCAAAATGTCAAAATGAATTTCCAAACTTTTTTTTATCAGACTGCATTTTTTATACTATTGCAATACAATTAGAAAGTAAATCCAATATTGATTGCATATAATTTTATATATTTTAGACTCACACAACTTTGACACAAGTTAGAGTTATGTGACTAGGAAAAAGTGTCACATCGTATTAAATTTCGTTATCACTTGAGCCAATGTTCAAAATTGTATGTCATAATATATTTATTCTTCATAAGTGTGTCTGTGTATGATATGTGTGTCCTTGTTTATTCAACTTCACTAACTACCTTCAAATGAGATGAATTATTGTTTACTACTTGTAGGCCTTTCATTATGAAGAAAAACTAGTAGCCATCACAGCAACCGAGGATAACTTTGTACGAGTATTTAAACAAATTTATATATAAAACCGGTAACTTTATACACATATTTAAACTACTTTAGGTATGAAACAGAAATCCTAAGCCCAAACAATAATAAATTTTTGTCGTTGTATTAAAAAAACAAATTAAATAATTGATTATTTGTGAATTGTGTTTTTATGATGGCATTTTTTTCAGCATTTTTAATGGGAAGGTCCAAATCCCGGTTTTGTTACTATATAATGTCGACCTTTTGTTTGATAGCATCATTAATTAATAGCCCAATGAAAAAATGGTATGTGCGTCCAGAAATGATCTTGTTTGGAATCAAACCAACAACCTTCAGATTTGAAGGTGAGCACTATAACCACACAGACAATTATCATGTGTAAAACTTGTGAAGAAATAATCTAGCAATAATGAAACTAATGCTTATTTTACTTCCACTGAAATGTGGCTGAAACATTAAATTTGTACATTATAAAACTAGTAAAGCTCCACGGTTGCTCAATTTTGTACACAGAATAAGAATAAGAAACTTGAAACATAGATTCAATTTTTCGCTCAAAGTGACGTATGAAAAAAAAACTTACTCTCTTCTTCCCTGACACATTAGGCCTAGAGAGGCGATATTCCGAGAGATCATCTTCAGAGAGCTCCAACCACTCCTTGATTGTGTTGCCTTTCCTTGCCTTCACAAGCCCGTCTAGCCGATCTGCAACATAAGTGGCCATTCCTTAAAAACTGATCATCACATGCTGTACAGTTACTTTACATCTGGTAGCATTGAGTAAGGCAAACACTAATGATAAACTTTGCGATCTCCATCGCAAATGTTTCGTAAAGGCCTTCACCAAATTCAAACACAACCAGATGTAATTGCTATTTCCAAATACAACCTGCTACAAAGCTTTGAGAAATTGAATGGTATAATGTTGAGTGATAAAAAATCAAACTTAAAAGAAAGGTAAGCATAATATAGCAAGCTAATGAGTAAAACCATTAAAAAAATTGAATACTTTTATGATAGCAAGTAGTTAAAGTAGTATACTATTGTTGTTCCCAAGACCATCAAAATATCAAGTTTATGAGTTGTTGGTTTTCATGTTTTATGTGTTGTTACAGGAGGGAGATGAGTTTTGATTTCTCTAAAAGTATTGGTCGTCCTTGGACTTAATTGTTGAGATTTAATTTGGGATTTATAGATTTTATTATGTAAATAATGTCTCATATTAGGGTCATTTTAAAATAAGAATAAAATTACTTAACCTTTTTTTGTGATATTTTTATTATAAATTGTTACTCGTTTTGTTAACGCAAAACCATTAAGATTCAAACCATGGCAATTTAGAAACAAAAACCACAACACTGCAAATAACTTTAAAATTGTTATCAACAATTAAAAAATAAAGTGTAACATTTATTTTACAAGCATTATACCAGGTTGTTTTAGAATTCTTTAATCACCTGAAATAACAATATGAGTTAATAACCAAGGTACTCACTATGTATACTAAACAAGTAACTAAATTAAAATAAACAAAATTTACTCACCTAGCTTTTCCCCAGATGATTCTACGTTGTCCCATTTGCTCTTAAGGTATTCGGCAATAACCTGTTGTGAACACACTGGCATGTTTATGGTAAAAATTGAACCTAATGGGGCCTAAATTGTACTCACAATGGACGACTTGCGAAACAATTATTACAATGATGAACTTTAAAAGGGCAAACAAAGAGTAGCATAAGAGAAAAAATAAATTAAGTTTAGTAAAATTAGAGGGAAGGGAATTTACTTGAATTGAAAATGGAATCCAAGTTGTAGGGTGCCCGGTCTTAATTTTGTGTCACATGTTCTTATTTTTTTTCACACCCATTTTGAGCTATACTTTTAAGGTTATACTGCATCTAACAAATATTATACTTATTCATGAATTCATAAACAAAATTTACTAACAAGAGTGTCGAAAACCTGAAACTGATTATGACGACACACGCGCAATAGTAAACCAGTTCAAATGCTTAACAAATAGAAAACATGAGTGAGGAATTGTGAAATTTTCTTGGGAATTCAAATGAGAAACAGAGCTAACAGACAAATCAGCACAAAAGACTAAATTACAGATGTTAAAATTAGCATACCGAATGTGTTTGCGACCAGATGATTACAAACAGAAATAAATCACCAGCAGTGAATGAGTACAATGTTAAACAGATCCGTTTATAATATGTAACTGGGTAATATATTTGCTGGAAATAGAGCATGTGTTCTCGGTCCTTGAGATGTGAAACAACAGTTAGTCAGGGCTAAACAAAGAAGTGGCGATAGTGCCAACACTTTTCAAATGTTACACTCTCAAAACAATACAACAGTAATACATATACAGAAATTAGTATTATCAGTTATCACTTAGGTTTTTTAATCCTGTAGGTAGGCCCTAATAAGGATTTCAAAAATAGTTTTATTGTTACAGTTAAAAAAGTAAAGTATGTTTACTTTCAATGAAGTTAAAACAAAAGCTTATCAGAAAATAATAATTTTTTTTTAAGTAGCTTAACAAGCTTGAATTTTTTTACTTAATTTTGTTTGGGTAATTTCCTGGGACTGAAATTGATATTGACTACATAAAACTCAAAAACACCTTTTATCAGAAATAATACAAAAAATGTTATCCAATACAACCCCGCTAATCCGTCACCTAAGGAACGGGAACCATGGTCGGAAAAGTGAAAAAGTCTGATTATCCGAGGAGCATATTAAATGGCCAAATGAATTGTTTAACTGATATTTATTGATCACACACAATCGTTGAAGACAATGATAATGTCCCTGAGACCACAGAGGATGACGAACGAAGGTAAACGTTTCTGTGATCACAGAAAACGACAATGATGTTTCCGTCATGGCCGGGAATTTAAACAAAATGTTTGCCGCTATTGTAGGAGACTAGTCATAAATGTTATCGCAATAACATTATCTCCAATAGGGGATGGCACGGTCGGATTAAGAGAGTAGTGGATTTAGAGGGTAGTATAATGCTAGCCGAGGTTGGATCAGCGGGGTTTTACTGCACCCAGGAAAACACTTTATGAAATTGTGGAAATTTAATTTTGTAAAAATGTTTTGCTGAACTGTATGTTATGTTGTTATAATTTCAAACCCTTGATGCAAAACTGTTTTTTTGAAATTATATTTTTTAAATTACTTGACTGTTAGTTAGGGATAAACATTTATAAGATATCACAGAAACTTTTGATTACTTGTCCCTTCACAGAAAAAAACAAACAAACAAAAAATGCAGTGCAGCGACCACTTCAGCTGAAACAGTTGTCACAAATATAAAATCACTTTAACGTAAACAACTATAATACTACAAACACTTATTATAAAACAAATATTAACTTTCATTCAACATTGACTACAAATAAGACAGTAAGATACAAACCGTATTTACCCAGGTCTAAGACTTGTGCTTCATCAAGCTCCCAAATGCTCCACTTCTTCAAAAACAACATTGAAAACTCAACAATCCAACTGCTTAAAATCGCCATAATATATAAGAATATATTCATAACACCAAGTTCGGTGGTTACCGAGGTTTTGTATCTGAGTTACAAAACATATTAACTATAAACTAAGGTGATTGCACTCGATGAAATCATTTAAAAGGTTGACGGACGGATAAGTAAATTCTAGATCTTATACATCATTATGTTTAACTTAATACAACTCATACAGAACCATACAAAACTGATGTATAGACACCACTCTATTTAGTGAAATAAAAATTTACTGGTGTCAACCATCGTCAAATCAAAATCACTGCCGGATGATTTGACCATACAGTGAAATGGCATCTCCAGTTAGCCCAAACTATTAGTAGAAAGAACTAGAAGCTCATTGAGCAGAAGGCATTCCTGCATTTTAAATTGCTGATGACCTTCTCCTTTACATTAACACTGGACATACATTCCGGGTTTAGCCGATGAGGATGCCATTTCACAGTTAGGGAAAAACATCTGACATTGAATTTTATCTGGCGACACAGTTGACGCTGAATAAAATCAAGGGAACTGAAACAGGTCACAATAGCCTATGCTGATTCAATGATTGTAAATCAGGTAATTCAGAGCCACAGCTAAGAGTTTCAAAAATTAACAAATGACTAATCTCAGCAAGCTGATTGACTTATTTATGAAAAAAAACTCCTAAACCTAATTAACTAAAAGGCTAGTTCACACATGGCATCCAACTCGCCGTGACTTAGTCGCCGTTATTATTAGTCGCAGCTCCTACTTGCCAGCAAAATTTAATCTATATTCACACATAGCGAGTTTTAATGGCTAGTGCAGTTTGATGATTTGTTTTTGTGTTAATATCCATACTGTGAAAATGTCATAGCGTAGTTCTGTCAAGGTACTTTGCGAGAAATTAGCAGTGAAATAAAAAAACTTCAGTGGGTTCGGGGGTGAACAGGGAGAAAGGATAGGTTAGGTGCTTCTGCAAAGCTATTGAAAAAATTAGCAAGTGAAGACCCCCAATCATATTACAATGAAACAAAACCACATCAATACCAGAGCAGCCGAGTCCATAATAGCAGTCATCTGTTATTAATTAACAGCTGTGTCTAAGGAATGTCGGCCTTAGTCACTAACAAGACTACAAGATCGCGCCACTCATCCTACACTCATCTCCATTCATACTTGGCTTAAAATACCTACTTTGTATGGTCGCCATATCATTGAAAAGTATTAAAGAATTATCGATAAAACTTCACACTAAAAATTTATATTTCAGCAATGCAGTTACAAAAATATGTCAGATCATGCAGCGAATGATCAGTCAACACAATCAGTCTGTTATTAAATAGCTTATGTGCTATATAACAATTTGCTAAAACCTTCCCTATTATATGTATAAATAAATGTAACTTACAGTCACACAACCACTGAAATATATGTTCAATACATAGCAATTTTCTCAACAGATCAACGATGGGGCTACTAATTATGCTAATCCAAGTAACTAACCATTTAACATGGGCAAGGAAATAATCGTCAGTAGAGAAAATAATCACTGACCGATGGATAAAGAAACAAATTAACTTAGGAGGTAATTAATAGGGGTCACTTATTTGATAGATAGTGAGTAATATTTTAATTTTCAGGTCAAAAGACGCAGAAACATTTAGAAAACTAGGATCTTTATTTTAGTTTCTACATACTATATACAGCATTAACAATTTAACCATAAGAAAATCACCACATATACAATAATTTTAAGTCGCTATCTACTCAGATACTAAAAGACGATTTTTAATTAACGTGCGGCTGACAAAGTATTCCTTATCTTACAACATTTAATTTTTCTAGTGGCATTGGAGGATTCAAAATTAATTTTGTTGAAGAAGATTCCAGCATTTGGGTATTACAAGTGTGGGAATTAGTTTAATTACCGGTGCAAAACCTCAAACTGGCTTTAATGTAACAAGTTTTCCTAACGGTGTTTGGCTGACCCGCATAAAACCACGTTCGAACCTTAATTCTGTAGAAACAGTTGAAAAAATTATATTCAATGTCAAATCACAACAAATTATTCACGCCAATTTGAGGGGGGGGGGGGCAGTTGTGAAGTTAAGCTCAGAGTGTAAAGATTTTTCCAAAAAGAAAACTACTTAGTTGGCGCGCCAGTTGCGTCCGGCTCCGTGTGTCTTAAGCAGCATTCCTGGATTTCATCAAAACAATTTTTACAACCACCCTTCTCCTAAGTTCAGCAACTCAGGTATGGGTTTGTAAGTGTGGTTAAGTCCAGTCACAGTTTTTCGTTTTTATCTTATGATGAATTTGTTTGCACATATCACATAGAATTTATAAATTGTATAATTAGTTTTTTACAGTTTACTTTGCAAATTTCTTCAAATACATCCATCCTGTTAGATGATTGTAAATCCCCGCTCACAAATCCCTCTTTCATAACACTGACCTTAAAAACCATTAAACTATTAATAAATCTTTAGAGTTTTTGAAATATTTCTAGAAAAATAGTTATTTATGTACAGTTTTATTAATTATACATGGTTTAAATACGTTTTTGTATTAATATAAGATTAAAAATCATTGTTTGTCTTATGTTTCAACACCCCCCCAAAAAAACTCTGTGTGTCACCGATATTGTTTTAAAATCAAAGACAACCATGAAGGGTTAAAATAAATTGGTTCCTTATAGTTTTAGTCAAAATTTTACTGCAAAATCATATAACAAAATCAAATGAAAATGAAAAATTTATTTTGTTATGTGATACAGAAAAAGGTTCCGCATGGGTTTTAAAGGCTAACTGAGGTAATTAATATGTGAATTATCAAGAAAAAAATTGACGTCTGTTTATTTACTGTACTCACATAATTATTTAAAGAATAAAGACACGTTATAAATGCAGAATATTGCATACAAATCTATTCTAATACTGTACTTGAGTATGACATTGCTACACTCATTTGTATGCCTATAATTCTCTAGAACTGTCCAATAAGATTAGTAAAATAAAGATTTGATGGAAAAGTACTCAGAACACTAAAACTTTATGTATATTTTATGTGGGTTTAGGATTTAGTCAAGGCTACAAACACATGATCCACACATGATCTTAGTTAACACATGAACACATGAACTTTAGTTAAGGAAACTGTATTCTTAAGTGTTATTGTGGGATTTACATAAGGTAAAAATGTATTTAACTAATAAAAACCAATTTATTTTAATGTACTAAAATTATACTTTCGATGATTATATTTAATCCAAAACTAGTTTTATGTGTTTATAAAATCATATAGGATATATATATTATTTTAAAGTATTTGTAGGGAAAAAATAAAAACTTAAACCTGTCTGATTATTGTCGCTTACCTGTGGTAGTTTGGGGCTGAAAGCATTCCGTCTTAGACTTGAGGAAATACGGTCGGCGACCGACACTGGAGCTTAACCTATCACTCGGACAATCAAAGGCCCACTTACCTCTTCTACATCTTCCACCTTGGACTCTTCTTTGTCTCCACTGTCTGTATTCTCATTCTTCTCCTCTTCTGCCGGAGCATCTTCCATCTCAACCTGTGAACACAAAGATTTTGTTTCACAACTTATTGAAAGTGAACAAATTATTTGGGGAAAAATATGGAATCCTACTAAAAAAATAAAACAGGTTTTAAAGGGATACTTGTACAAAAAAAACTAGGACATAAAGCACTAGCGTAGTTAAATAAATAAGTACCTAATAAGTTTTCAAATAAAAAAAAGATAATGTTCTAATACTAATGACAAGATTTCTTCAGTGAAACAAAATAAAAAGAAATTCTAATTCAGTTGGATAAATGATTTTTTTGTTTAGGTGATGACAAAATCCAGGAATCTTCAAATTTGAATTAAACCAAAATCCCAAAGCAACTGTTTAATCCTGTTCTAGAATCAAAATAAAGAATCTGTAATATGGATTTACTTAGAAATTGAGTCTCATTACTATTTACTGTGTTCTATGCCAGAATCTGAGAGTAATATTAAGATAATCTCCCAGTAGCATTCGTGATTATTTCCCACGATCTAAGCAACTTATTGATTAGATTCCTAGGACCATGAATTATTTCCTAGCCTGAAGTAATGTGTGAAAATGTTCTGGACTAGAGAATAGCGTCCTTAAATGTGAAAATGAGACATGAAGAAAAATGTTATCCGAAACAAACACAGAAGGGATGGTAGTGTGGGCCAACAGTAAACAGCAAGTGTAACTCAATGTGAGATTTGAGATTCAGCAAAAACCACTACACTACGCCAATGACTATCACCGAGTTAGCTTCTTAATACTAAACGTTACCTCAGTAATGGCAGCAGACTGCAGTAAGCTCCTGACATCCAGTAGTGTCTGAGATGTGGGGGTTGGCTCCCAATTCTTCACCATTTCCGCTATCTCCTTTTCTGTTCTTTTGTGTATGTTTCTCTTGCTACACACATTTACATCAGAGTCCATCTCACAGATAAATACCTGTAAACAACAAGAATGCAATTGAGTCAACAAGAAAGATAAAAGAATTGTTGTTCTTTCTTAACCTTTCCAGTTAATTCAGATCTCAGTAAAGTAAGGTTCTACTATATGTACTAGACAATAGACTATATTCTTTATCAACATATTTGTTGAGAGTAGTACAGCGTCATATTTACAGGTGAGTTATATAAAAAGCTAGTTAGCTATATAAAAAGACAAAAACCCAAGAGTTTTTAATCCTCAGTTAGCATATACCTGAAAGCCCTTCTGCTTGGCGAACGTGTTGATTTCTTCATAATGCTCCAGTTTGTTGTTGATACAGTCGAGGATTATGAAAGGGAAGTAGCCGTCGGCCAGGTTCTTGCGGACAGCTTTGATAAGAGACTGACGATAGTGCGACTCCATCTCTGGTTCATACTCATACTCCATTACCTGATGAACAGTAAAGTTGATCAGGACTTAAAAATTCAGGATTTTTTTAGAATAGATAGAATAGATTTCCCAATCTTTGTGCGAAAGTTGTATTACGTTGAGAATTTGTTAAAACTGAGCTCTATTGGATTTCCAACATTGTAAAAAATAAAAATACATTGTACACCCAATTTAATTAGTGTATTTCTTTATTAAAAAAATATTATGCTTAAGTAAAATGTATATACAGTTCTTGATTAGGCCTACAATTTAAGTGTTTTGCTCAGTTTTGTCTGCTATTAAAGGGGTTGTTAATTGAATCTATTATATCTCCATCAACTAACCATACCCTGTAGTGTGTAAAAACTAAAGGATAAAAAAGTATTTTGAGAGTTGCACAATCTATAAGATAAGAGTATAATTTTTATTTAACTTTCTATGAATGAAGAAACTGGTTTTGTCAATTATAAAATGGATACCTCCTTCCATAGAAAGTCAATCAATAACGAGGGTAGGCTGGAGGAGTAACATTTTTCCTTTACAGGTTGATTAAATCCATCCATCGTTTTCTAGACAGATATGTCACCAATTTCTTTTATCTTTAAGCAAATTTTGTTATATGATTCAAATAGGTAAGATATAGGGTGGGGTTGATTTTTTGAGTCCGTTGTGTGTTGTAGACTGCTGGTTTTTAGCAGAAAAACCCAAGAGTTAGTGGAAATATCGGAATGTCATGAAATAATTTTGCTCTGATTGCGGGAGACAAGGAGGGAGATGCTCTCAATTTCGCTAGGATTGTGGAACATCATGGTTCGTTATACTATCGTGGAAGATGATCACAAATTCAAGTTATGATGACGATAAATGAACAACACAACAAATTCATGATTAGTATTAAGCTAGAACTTTTTATACTGTCAACCATACAGACTTGCATTAAAAAACATCAAAGCTTTTCAGAGTGTTTAGGATAAAATAATAATGTATTATGAGTAGTTTTAATTGTTGTTATTGCTTACATTTTCCATCAATTACTGAAACTCAAGTTCCACTTGCAAAAATTCATCAAACATTTAAACCATCACTAACAGTAAAATTCAATCAAAGAAAAATGATTAGCGTGCCTCAGACAAAAATATAAGTGGATGGTAATTTTATCTATTTCAAACCAAGAAACAAACTCAGAAACAACATTCCCCAAATTGAGACAGAATCAATAAAAATTGAAGTTGACACATAACTAGTAAGATCTAACACATGAGTAACTCACCTTGGTTGTAAACTTGCGCTTTGTTTCGGGATCCACCTCTTCTCTCTCTACTTCACACATGAAGTAATCATCCAGAGAGACTATCCTGGGCGCGTTGCCTCCATTCTCTACTTCCTTGTCCTGCAAACAAGTGTTATTGGCTCAACATTGCACAGAAGAATGTCCTGTGGCAAGAATACTTTCAATAACTGGTACCTCAAGTGGAGGGTATAAAGTACCATTTAATTGTTTATACATAAAAACATATATATATGTGACAATTTAAAAACTATTGACACAGTTTACTAGCCTAGACATGTGTGCATATAAGGAGAAGTGAAAGGGCAAGTCACTCAGCGCAGAGAGCACCGGTCTTTTTACTGACAATTTGTTATCAAAATTCAAATACTTACTTTCCATGTCCGGAAATCAGACTTTGCTTTTCCAAAAATTAGCTACCGATATGGCTTTGTCATTCGCATGTAAAAGATCATCTAATGTGCAAGGCTGGTCTAGACGTGGGATGCACAGTCCCGAAGATTGTGACCATTACACGCTATGAACGACATCACAATCGGGCGCACCCCTGGCAACGCTGACATGGCAAATCCTTCTTCAACCGGACGACTTCGAAAAATTCAAATCTGTAGTGCTTAAAAATTCTATTCTTGAGCTATTTAAAGCACTTGCAGTTTAAAGTTGGTGTGTTACTTCACTAGTATTCAAGATTCAATATATTTCAAGTGTCAAGTATTACAACAGGGTGTCCACCAGGCTAACCAGAAAAATTCATGAGTAATTCCAGGTAGTTCATGTCGTACTTTTTGTACTAAACTTTCCAACCTCGAGGTTATATCGTGATCATCTACCACTGTCGTAGAAGCACTATCATCGTTTTCCGCGATAACTGAAAAATCCTTAATATCTCCCTCAGTAACGGAAACATCACTACTGTCTTCTGTTGTCGTGACGAAATCCTGACATTGTTCAGCGGTAACAGAAACATAATAATGATCTCCCGCGATCACAGAAAAGTTATCATCATATTCCGCAATGGTAGCTTAATTCTAATAATTTCCCGCGGTCATCAACGTCGAGCAATAATTTTAAGGACATCATCAGACGGAAACGCCATTGTCGTCTCCTGCGGTTACGGAATCGTCATCGTTGTCACCCACGGTCACGGAAACGCCATCGACGTCATTGGCGATTGCGGATAAATCACTAACAAATCACGCAGCCGTTTAGACATCATCATCGTCTCCCGCGGTCACGGAAACGTCATCGTCATCTCCCGCAGTCATGGGAATGTCATCGTCGTCTCCCGCGGTCACGGAAATGCCATCATCGGCCTGGGCAATCACGACAAAATCACTAAAGAATCACGGCTGTTAAACTATTGTACAAATAAAGAGTAATTTTAATATAAAAATTAAACTAGGAGTTTGGGCATCATCATCGTCTCCCGCGGTCACGGAAACGTCATCTTCATGCGCTATCACGGCAAATTGAAAATTCCCTATAAAATATGAAATTCACGCATACTTCCCAATTTTTCTCGATTCAAAAAAATCCCGCATAACTCCTGGTTTTGCAGGTCAGTACAATAGACATCGTCAATGTTTTCTTACGTGTAACAAACAATTAATTTTTTGCTAAAATAACAGTGAGAATGCACCAAGTGAGTATCAATCACGCTTAAAACAAAACTGATTTCATAACAATTAACCCTAAAATAATTAAATACTTAACATGAAATGATCAACAATAAAACCTATTCCATGACATTCTACACGTATGTACCAAGTTTCGTGGCAATCGGTTCAGCGGTGTCTGAGTTTATCACTGCCAAACAAACAAACAAACAAATATATATACAAACATCCTCTTTTACACTTATAGATAAGGTCAGGTGGGGTAAGTGTACGCCCCAAATCACATAGTACAACTTTGACTACAGATTAAAAACGTTTGTAGGTGCTATACAAATCAAACTATCTGAGCTTATTCTTTGAAATGTTTTGTATATGTGTTTTTTTTGTCATAAATATGAATTTTGCGTTTTTGAGAATTTTTTTTGTAATATGATGTTTGGGGTGTACACTTACAAGTACTGTACAAGTATATACCCCCCACCACCTTTATTGTAGTTTTCCTCTGCATATTACTTGATGTTGCGGTAAGTGGAATGTAGAGAGAAAAATTAGCTTTCTTTACTTTCTTTTGATTTTTTATTTATCAAAATATCTCAAACGGTTCAGGAGTTACACTTTTCTGTTAACCTCCGCAAGGGAAAACGGAAAACCCAGCTTTATTATAAATTCTAAAGAAAATAAAAACCTTATAATTCCACTATTTCATTGAATGAACAATTATTAAGTCTCAAAGAGCAGAAAATGAGCTTTATTTTGGTTTTTTATTAATTAAAATATCTTAAACTATACAGTAGTAGTTAAGAGTTATTTTGTAAACCTCCGCTCGGTGAAGTAACCTAAAACCTTAATATTTTAAATTGCAATTGACTTATTTCAGATCAGTTGAAATATACAGTCCAACCTCAGTATAACGAATCTGAAGGGACCGAATTGAATATTCGTTATATCAAGGATTTTGTTAAAACGAGGTTCGTTATATAGAGGTTAGGTTTGCAGGAATTTCGCTAAGTCGAGGTTCAGAACCAGCGTCGGTCAATATAGGTCGGGATTTGACCTCATTAAAATACAATTAAAGTAGCAAAGGCTACAATTCTTTACAGTACAGTGTTTACATTGCACAGTAGAACCTAAATTATCCGGCATAATAAAGGGGAGGGATCTGAATATTGCGCAATCATGACAATGGCATTGACCTTGGTACAGGTTAAAAACTGTAAGTTTAAAATCACAGCTTGTTCTAACCCTCCTAAAACCTAGCCAAACACTATTGTGTATTGTGTAGTCATAAACCGTGTAAAGAACAAAACAAAGAACGTAAAAAGTTTAGTAAGCTACTGCTCGCGATAGGCCGGTAGGCTACTTTACAGTACAGTACTTATTTATCACAACAGAACAGAGGAATGTCAATAATAATCATTAACTATAGCATTGGTGTTGCTAGTTGAAACGAAACAAATCGTATTGAAAACAATAACTTATTAGATAAGTCATTATAAAAGTGTATAATCATAGGATAATAAAAACACTCGGAAAAGGAATGTTAAAATAACGATGTTGCTATTCTTTCTCTTTGGTTTTGTTTTTATATTCTTTCTTAGGTTTCTCTTTATCCAAAAATTGTACAATTCACCATAGTTATCCCATATCGCCCAATCACAGCTTACTAAACTAAACATTACGTCGTCATCAGTCCTCAGTGAATGAAATCAGTTCAGTTCTCAGTTGCAACATAGCGCGCGCAGCGACAGCAGACAAAGATGTAAAACGGAGCAGACGAATGTTAGCACAAGCGATGACGTGACCTTTCCATTTCATTTGATAAAGAAACAGATTTTCCCAAAACAATAATTGGGTGGGGGATTTGTTATATCGAGGGAAAGACGTAGACAATTCGTTATGCAGAGGTTAAATTTGCAATGTAGAGGTTCTGACAATGATAAATTTTTTGTATTGAGGTGTCTTATTTTGAACAGATTGAAACGTTTTCTCAGGAGAGTCTTTTATCCATAAAAGAATTCCTTGACCGAAAAAATCTGCTTATTAACACAGAAAAATCCAATTTTATATCATTTTCCACTAAACAACATAGACAAAATTTTGAACCAAACATTTGCATAAAATCAGAAAGAATAAACCAAGTAAAGCAAACAAAATTTCTTGGTCTAATTATCGATAAACATCTATCTTGGGAGGGCCATGTGAACTATGTGGTTAAAAAGGTATCTTCTGGTATCCATGCGCTGCGACAGATGTTCAGAGTATGCAGTTTAGACACTTTAAGAGTTGTTTATTTCTCATTAATACATTCACATATTTCATATGGAATTGTTCTATACGGGGCAACAACAAAAACTAATTTAGATAAAGTACTAATTAAACAGAAAAAAGCTATCAGGGTGATGAAAAATCTTAAAAAGAAAGAGCCAGTCAAGAGCATCTTTCGTGAATTACAAATATTAACAGTTTATAGTCTTTATATTTATGAAACAATAATTTATGCAAAACAGATCCAACTATCATCCAGCTCAACAGAACAATTAGTATATAACACCAGATTAAAAATTAACCTACCTCGGCATAATCTCGAATTTTACACTAAAAAGACATCTTACATAGGGCTAAAATTTCTCCAGTCTATACCAGCTCACATCCGAAAAGAAACAAAATTTAATAAATTCAAGAAGCTCTTAAAGGAATATTTTTTAAGAACTCCCTGCTACTCAGTAACAGAATTCTTTAGTATTAGTAAAAAACAGTTAGGCCTAACTTAATTTGAATGCCAAATACTGTTATCCTTAAAGTCATGGTTTTGTTAAAAGTTCAAGTAAAGTAATTTTTGTACTCTTTTTATGTATTTAATTAGCAGTAAGCAATTTTGAATTTAGCTTATGACTCTATTCAAGTTCATGTAATGTGAAACTATAATGAATAAAGAATGTTTTGATTGATTGATTGATTGATATTTTAGCCGAAATCACAAAAAATTTGTTAAATCAAGGTCGTTGTTATGGTTTGTTCGTTATGTAGAGGTAAAATATACATTGTGTCTTATGGAGAGTTCTAGGGGATTACAAAAAATTTGTTATATCAAGGAATTTGTTATATCGAGGTTCGTTATATCAAGGTTAGACTGTATTGGTAAGTAATAGTTGAATGTAGTCAGGTGTGAACAAACCTTGATTAGTTTAGCCACAAAGCTCTTGCCAGAGCCTGGTGGTCCTCGTAGAATGACTAGTATCTTGTTGGGTCTCTTGTCTCTCCCCGGGGTGTTGAGGATATCTTCTATTAGAACAGCTGGGTGTTGTCTGGCTGGAGGCGGCTCCTCCCTACCAGACATCACACATTTGAGAATTTTGCCAAGCTACATCTATACATCCACATTTAAATCATGGCTAATAAAGTTGCTAAAGACAGGTCTCTTGAGAAATTGTTTAAACGTTTAAGACAAGATTAAAACAAAATTTGAATTCTGAAACATCATAGGCATTCTTTCCTGTCATTAGGTCTGAATAATAAAACCACAAACAATTATTTCAACCAACCCTAAGAATGGCATTTCCTACAACAAAGAGTAATTTTACTTCATGAATGTGACCTGATTTATATCAGAGTCAAAACAACTGAATTTTAATCACCAACTTCATTACCGAATCGGTTATTGATGTTTTTTCCTATGCATAGTACTAGATATTGAACTAGCGTTCTTGACCCATTCAGATTAAATTTTATGATAAACAAAAATTTATAGTTTAGGAAGAAAGTTTGTAAACTGTCACTGAACACAACAATTTGACACAACAATAAGAACACCAAACTACACTACACCACTAAAATAATCCAACCACTATCCAAACTTCACAGTAAATAATTTAGACTAGTTTAATTACTCTAAAAATTACCAGTACCTTGATGGTCTGTCGTCTTTAGGCTTTAGGTTATCAAACCTATCCCTGACCCCTCGCCTGTCCCCTTGGTCTTTACTCCTGTTGAACATAAAATCAATAAGTACTCCAATTCAACAAAGGAAATCAACTATCAACTTAATTGGGTCATTTTACCAAAGGCACCTGTAAGTTATTGTTTAGACAAGCATTAACATTTAATAAAACATATCTTAAGTACTAATATAGATTAACAGTAGAGGCTTTAGTGGTTTTGTCATACCTGCTGTCGTTAGACTTGTCATCATTCCTTCTATCTCTGTCCTTTTCCCTCTCTCTTTCTCGTTCTCTGTCTCTGTTGTTACGTTCTCTGTCATTACGATCACGGTCGTTACGTTCTCGATCGTTGCGTTCCCGATCGTTACGTTCACGGTCATTACGACCCCTGCTGTCTCTGTCATCTTTTCTGTCATCTGTAAAAGAAAATTGTATTCTATAATCCAAAAATGGGCAGTAACCAAACTCTATTTTTTCACACCCATCATTAATTTAATTTATAAACTAAAGAAATGTAGAAACAAAAGAGATTTGTCAAACATTACATGACATTAATGGCAATCAATTCCCACTCAGTGAGAAGCAGTTGTGTTTCAACACAGTCATACGATCAATTATTTCTTATGTGCAAGTGTGGGGTTTCATTGAACGATTTGTATATAATATAAATGGAGATTATTTTTATTTTACTACCTCCATTGTACTCGTAATAACGAGCTAGCAAAACAATAGATGTGAGAGTTACTAAAACTATCACTGAGAATAATTACAGCTCTACGAGTTGTTGCGTTATTGACTGTGTGTATAGCCTTCAACTCTGGTGACAGAATGCCCACATTTTTAGACCTTCCGGGTTAGACCTTCAGCAAGTCTCATTTTATAAACATTTATTTACAAAATATAGGTTGTGTGCCCAAGTTCTAAATCCCGCAAGGTCTAAAAACAGTAATCACAGTAAAGTAAAACAGTATCAGTGGATAAGTTTTCTGCATTGACTGTACTTTTAGACCTTCCGGGAGTTAGACCTTCTGCATACTGCCCGTTTAGACCCTCAGCAACAAGTACTAAACGCAAAATGTGTGCCGAAGGTCTGATTAGACCTTCCGAGATTCAGAACAGCAACACTCGCCTTTAAGTTTGGCTTTGTTAAAAGCAGGGTTTAAGCTGCGATAGTATCTTTAGCATTTTGCTATACACAACCTAAAAATGCTACATTGTTTTTGCAGGCTATGGCAAATTTGCTACGAATAAAATTTAAGATGTAATGTTCAAACATATAATATTGCTAGAAATTTTTTTTTTAAATGCTTAAAGAATAATATTTTTGCTACAGTTGTGTGAGAGTTTGTAGCATTTTGCTGAAGGAAATTTCATCCCAGCCCATACCCTGGTTTAAAGTTTGAATATGCTATGCAACAGAAATGAGTAACCTAAGATAAACACACTCAGTCTTTGGCTCAATTCAATTGCCCTTATTATTGTTCTAAAACTGGCAACTACTTTAAAATGAGGATGGGATGTCTACTTCTACGAACAGTCTAAGGTAATAGGTTCTATTGTATGCATGTAGACAAAAGGTAGGTTACTTACTATCTCTATCTCGGTCGTGCCTGTCCCTGTCATCTCGTCTGTCTCTGTCGTCTCGTCTGTCTCTGTCATCCCTCCTGTCCCTGAACCTGTCCTCCTTGCCTCTGTCATGGTCCCTATCCCTGTCCCGTCTGTCCTGTCTGCCAGGAAACCTGTCCTCCCTGCTGTGACCTCTGCCTCTACTGTCACTCCTCTCTCTCTCCCTATCCAGGTCACGTTCTGCCAAAATAATCAAAACAAATCATAGTTAAAGAGAGACAATAGTTGTTGGAATTGTACAACTACTATATATAATCAATCATAGACTAACCAACACAAGTAGACTTCTCATCCCATTGTAAATTTTGAAGCACATTTTGTCATGTCTAGTTCATGTTCGGTGACACTGGGCGCTAGTGTCAAAGAAATTTTGTTTCTATTATTTTAGGGCTAATTTCTTGATTTGTGCTTTAGTGTTTGGTTATATAACTAGGGGACAAGTTATTGTTTTTTGATTAGATCGTATTATTTGGTTAAACAATGTTTTAAATGACTGTAATAACGGGAAACAAATTGTAAACAAAACATGACCTCTACATAAACCATATAGAGCTAACAATAAAATTGTCTTAAACTGTTACATAAGGATGAGAAATCTACTAAGGGAGTATGTTTTATCTATGATATAATATATATAATGTTATGTCGGAAGCCCAAACTAAAGCAAGAGTTGGGCCATTTGGAAATGATAGGGGAGAAAATATTGTCTTCGCCACCGATGGGACAAAAACAGAAATGTTTGTTAAATTTATGTTATTACAACAACTAAACAATTAAATTAATACATCTTTTTATTATAATTTTATTAATGTTACTGCTGAGGCTCGACATACTTTTACCTTCCTCGTACATGTGTTATTTTAAACCCACTCAGCATAGCTCTAGCCTTGCCACTCCACTATGTCAGTAAACCCCACTACTAACACTTTCTTTGGTATGAATAGCCAAAGGAGTAATGAGTAAGATAGAATATTAATGTCTAAACTTTGTTTTAATGTAGATAATTTAAAATTATATTTAAAACAAGCACAATTCAAAAGTCTTGAATCTGACATGATCGCTTACCAATGTCATTAAAGTCTCGGCCTCTAGGCAGGAAGGAGGACTTGATGAACGGTGGAGGACCAGGGTTAGCCCCGTGTTGGTAGTCAAACATGTGCATCGGCTGAATCATCACTGGAATGTCCAAGTCTGCAAAATATTCAACTATTTAGTGCTCAAACTTAGATTAAAAAAGGCCTCAATAATTTGTTACCTAAAGGAACAATGTTGGTACAAACTACTAAAGTTTTGCTATTTTGATATATTAATATTAACATGAAGATGGATAATATCCAACATTCATGGTTCCCTATCATCAATTACCACACATTAACCATTTACTCCTAACATGAAATTGTGTCAAGAAAAAAATAACCCTACCGTGTAAAACCTACAGACTAATTGAATTTCCATTTGCCTGATTATATTTTCACTGAAAAATCTCCTTTAAAATGTCATACTTATTCTATATTTAAATAACATTAGTTTAACGATTACTTAGGTTTGCTGCAACAAGCCAAATTTTTTTGTGATTCTTATTCATACCTCCAATTATATTAAAAACTCTTTGGCGAATTCTGTGATAATGTTTTGCGTTAGCAGCCCCTCAATGATCATATCTTTCGATGATGGCAACATCCGTGATGATTTCCCACAGTTGCGGCAATATCCGTAGTGATTTCATGTGATAGCAACAACATTCCTGGTCATTTCTCACAATCGCAGAAACATCCGTTGTCATTTCCAGCAATCACAGCAGCATCTGTGATGATTTCTCGCTATCGCAGCAACATTCGTTGTGATTTCCAGCAATAGTGGCAACATCTGTGATGATTTACCGCTATCGGCGGTGTTCACACTCTGCTTTTTCTAAAGAACCTAATAACCTATAAATTGATAGGCGATCCATATTTTTACTATGAAAATGATGAGTGTTCTCACACTGAAAACTTTACAACTACTGGACGAAACTGATCAATTCATAAGGGCTGGCCCAGATGGATTAGTTGAACTGATGGAATGTTAGAAGTCAAATGTTTACTTACATACAATAAAGGATACGTTTATCAAAGACCACTCAGCAACTCACAAAACCACATGTTTGGAACTCGTCAGCAGAAAACTTAGACTGACTAACTTAAGTCATGACTTCTTCCATCAAGTTCAAGGTCAATTATTAAACATGTCCAAATGGTTGTGGTAATATTTTGTTGTTTTCGGTAGAAAAGGCCCTTATTGATGAGGACTTCTGAGCGAAAGTACGACCAAATCTAGTAAAGCTCTACACTCTACATTAAAGAATGTGTATTGCCAGAAATAGTTGACGGTTTCCTCATTTGAAACATGAGGATAAAGAATCTATCCACCACAATTGAGGCCCTGCAAAAACTAAAACAAAAGCCCAAAATAGGAAAAAAGGTGGGCCACGAAGCAGACTTAGTGTAATTATTAAGGGAATTTAACGTTTGAAACCTGACACAGACCCAACTCTTGTTTCATCATAATCTAACTAGTTACACGGAATACACACAAGTTCAGAACTGTAGTTTATTTCTTTAACAGAAACAGAGTATTCACTAAATTAAAAGTGTTTGTTTCATGATCTTTGGTTTAATTGGCTTATAAAATGTACTCTACATAGACACATATTTAAAAAAAATGTAAATGGTCACTGTTTTATATTATTGTTAAAATCACATGTTGTGTTAAAAATTAAACAGTTCGTTGTTGTCTTGTTAATATTGTAAAAGTGTGTGCATTATCTCTCTCATATTCTTTCAATATTTCAAAAGTATTATTGCTCCTTTCTGAAGTTTCTCTCATTTCACGTTTTCTCTGTAACAAAAATATGGTTTACAGAGCAAAATATAAATTGATTCTTACAGATTGATAAATTGGTTCTTTACAATTAAAATTATTGTATTTATGAACACAACAAATGATTATCTTTCTAATTACATTATTTGACTATTTCTTCAGCGGGTAGGGCCAAGAACATCAGCAGTTGCTGCGTGGCTCGGCCTTAAGGTTGTGTGAAATGTAAATAACTAGACAGGCGGCAGATGGGTGAACGCTACCAGTACAAGTGTGTTCGGTCTGCCCTAGCACGACGTTAAACTAACTTACAGCTATTATGGTTAAAAACCACCAAGGTAACACTAATTAGTCTCCTAATTGGTTCAGGGATTTTGATTGGATAAGAATTAGAATGAAACACTTACTATCACCTTTTAATTTGAATGTACAGACTAATTATTGAAAGTATGTACTGGAATATTCTAAAGTTTTATTTAACTTCCACCATCTTAGGCCTATAACTAATGTACAATTTTCGCCTCTCGGAAATTTTGAATTTTGTCCTTCCTTGCCTATTTTGATATCATGAGGCTAGTATGAGCATGTTGATTCACCTGTAGCATTAGCTTTGAGCGGAGCTGGTCTGTGAGAGTAGTCTATCACAGTGACATCTCCTGGGGCGTCAGAGATCAACTTGGGACCAGCAGGCGGCCCACCACCACCAGGTATCAGGGTAGGCTTCAGTTCATGAGGAAACGGCGGAGGACCCCCTTTATTCAACCTGTAAACAAATTATTTACCTGATTGTTCACAAATACTGACTAACATGCATTTATTTTGTAATGCTGAATATTGTTTATAGGGGGCTAATATTTGTACTTTATTATTATTATAAGCAAATTGTTTCTTGGATTTATTTCCCTTTAATTTGGCAATAAAGTTGAAATTAAAAATTAAATACCAAAATAAATTATAACAGCAAAACCAGTTACAGTAGAACTCCAATTATCTGAATATTCCTAATCAATTGGGACGGGGCCCCATTCACATAATAAAAAAATGTGGATAATTGGATTTTTACCGAAATTCTGAGTCTTTTAGAGAAAACATGCTGAGCTTTTACTATTGCGTCTGCAACGATTTTGCGATCGGAAAACTAACGCCGCGATCACGGAGTACGATTGATATTACGTGACCGAGGGAGATAATGATAGTGTCAACTCGACCGTGGGGTATATTAAACATTTTACCATGATCGCGAAAAATGATGACGATGTTACCGTGACAGCGGGAGACGATGATGGCGTCAACACAATCGCAAGGTTTTTTTTTTTTTTTTTTAACTTATTTCTGTAAGCTGTAAGCAATTCGGATAATCGGTGATTCGGATAGTTGGAGTTTGGATAATTGGAGTTCTACGGCATAAAGGAATATTATTTTATCTGGCCATTTTAATTTTTTAGGATAGGCTATATGGTTTTAAGTGTTTTACAATACAAATATTTCAATACAACATGTCTATATTTAATCCCAATTCAATGCAAGAAAAGATAAAAGAAGCAAAACAGGTGTTGTGTGCAACCTCACTAACTCTGTCAACTTCCACCGTTGATTTAAGAAGGGCCCTCCACTCCAGCTAAGCTACAAGTTAGAAAGCTTAATAGCAAGTAAAGCTGCTAGCAGAAGCAATATGGCTATCTACAGTCAATAAAATGTATTCTTTTACTTTTTATGTAATTTTTCCGTATTTTTAGCTAATCCAACAAATTTTATAATTTTTAAACAGGGTCTAGTACAAATGGGGCTCTGGTGTGTATGATTGAATATTATTTTTTAGAGCAGACGACAAAAACTAATATCATCGTATACTGTATATTGGCCCTAGCAATAATTACGCTATCAAAATTTAATAAAAGAAAACTTGTAGACAAATACACAATTATTAACAGTACAATAGCACATTGTGCATTAAGCAGAGAAAACACTAACCATCATAAAATCTCCAAGCTGGGAATATAAACTTGCTTCAATCACTACAGTACTTGCTAAATCACAGAATGAAAAAGCTTTCCTTAATGAGGAAGTATTGCATGTGCACGAGTCACAATGTCTGCAACCAAAATGTAAGCTGCTCATAAAGTAAAAAAGTTGAATGTTTGACTGAGGCAAAGGGTCCTAATAACACAGTGTCCAATGATGTGCGTTATGCAAAATTCAGCAGCCAAATATTGAGTTGTGAACATTATGTAACAGCTTAAATATTTGTTTTGGACATTAAAGCCCTTACTGGCTTTTGGGTCAATCCATATCAAGTGGTCCAGAAATAAATTAATTGGTTGCTCCATGATTTTTATTTTTTTCATATTTTTATCCTTGAAAATACAAATCATAAGAAGTACAAAAATACAATTATTTTATTTTTATTATTTTTTCCAACTGTATGGCGGCCATTTTCTTGTTGCTCGAATGCCCGTTTTCAGCGATTTCAGAGTTCTGCGTCAAATTAAATATCTCCGCTTCTACAAATCCTAGAACATTAAAATAAAAACCAATCTCTTCAGAAAGATCTAAACTTTAATATGGTAATATAATTATGCACTTTAAACTAAATATGTAGGTCTAATTAGGCTACCTGTTTGAAGTTTGATGAGACGGCGTTACGAAAATTGGTTTTTAACATTTTTTTTTTTTTTAAATAAAGGCAACTGGCTATGTGTTTGTTATTTTTTTATCTGATAGTTGTATATGTGTACTCCAAATTCTCAAAGTTTCAAGTTGTGGACTTGCATAGGGTCTTAAATAAAAAATTTCAAAATCTTAAAATTTTTGAAAATTTCAAATTTTGATGTTTAATATCTCTGTTGGGCATGAAAATAAAAATTTCAAATTTGGCTCAGATTTAGTACTAAGTAAGAGTATTATCCTGTAAAAATTTTATTTTGTGGACTCAACTGGTTCCAAAGTTATGAAACATTGAAAAGTCCTAAAACAATTATAACAAACCTAACGCTGTAATATTATATATACACATATTTTCAGTATGTCTTCTCTTATAATACGAAAATAAGTGTAGTATTACATGATAATTAACTTACTTTCATTTTTATATCTACATGGCATTGAGGAGCTGTGAAATTTCATCACACAATGCTTGTGTAATATTGTAGGTCCGCCCTGTTGCTGTGGTTAGCTCTAATGGTGTGAGCTTTCTCAATACATTACTTAAGGGGACCCATGCTTCATCTCTCATGCTTAATTTGAATGAAGTTCGTGGTCCAGAAGGTTCAAAAAAGTGAACAAAATAATCATTGTGTTCCAGGCTTACAGATTGTATCTTTCCAATCCACCATTGTTTATCATATATGCAGGCAACAATATCGTCTTCCTCCAAATGAAATGAAACACTCTTTGATGTCAGCATCTCAAAAGATTTTAAGCATTTTGATGTTTTAAAACACTCTAGGCCTACCTTGTTTTCCGCTACAGGTACAAATCTATGAAAGGATCGTGTTCCAGGAATTGGTAAACATCCTTTGAATCGAACTTGTAGCTCTAATTCATTTTTTACCACTTCTTCACTGTCTACATAAACGTATTGAATACCTTTAAGGCTTTTTGAACAAAAGTCAAACATATCCTTTGCATTCAAAATTTGGTTGTCAGTAGTACATTGTAGACTCTTTTTTGTCACTTCCCTCTTTGTAGTGCCGCCTACACCATTGCAAGCATTCTTTCCGTGTGCAGTAGCGAAGAAATGCCACTCAGCTGGAACTCCAAAATCATTTTCATGGTAGCATAGATTTAGAAAGTTTTTTTTGTTTTTGTACTGGCTACTTGATCCATCAGTGAAATATATAATCTTTTTGATGGCAGGCACATTATTCTTTATGTCTTCAATAAGATATTTTTGAAACGTATGGACTACTGCCGTGTTGTGCTGCAGATGGTTGCTTATGACGCAAAGGCTACGGTTTTTTACCAGTCCAGAGTCTTCATCAATATAGTAATAGACAAAGGGGTGTACGGTAGCCTGTTTGTTAATCCAGTGAAAACTCTGGATCTCATCTTGTACCACGAAACTAAAATTTTCAGAGAAGTCGGCTACAACGACACACTCTTCCTTGGTCAGAGAACCCTTTGTGTCTTTAAATGAGGCTGACTGAATTTTGGAAACATAGTGGTGGGCTTTTAACTCATTCACTTTCCTTACGAGTGATTCAAAAAACTCTTCTCGAGGCTTTGTCACTGTGACCATCTCTGCACGGTCAACAGTGACCCATTGTTTGTAAACTATATCATCAGGCATTTCATTTATTTCATCTGACTCTAAAAATGTATTTACAAGTGCGTTTTCATCTCCACATTCCTCACATTCACCCATCATACATTCATACTTATTTACATCACACGCTAATGCTTCCATCAAATCTTTGTAATTAACATTAAGTTTTGCTCCGTCTATCATAAGCTTAATGTTTTGGTGATAGGAACAAACACAGACACTGTGTGTTCCTGAAGCTCCTGCTATTATACACCACTTGGGTCGCAGCTCACAAAATTTGGAGCGACCAATTTTAATATCTGGATAAGTTTCCTTAAACTTAACGAATAGCTCATTCAAATTACACAAAAGGAGCTGTTTTTGTTTATGCTCCAATTTTCCATCAATACGAACAGCCACGCAATCTTTTTTACCTGGACAAATTCTACTATTTTCTTCACACAAATAGAATTCTGTAGCTTTTCTGATTGTTTCTGAAGAAAGAGTCTTACTACTTTTTCTTTTAGATAAGTCAGGCATAATACCTTGCTTTTTAGTTAGGTCTCTAGCAAGTTTGACCAGACGTTCCGAAACTTTAAATTCTTCGCTAATTTTGTTCCTTGACCATGAAGGTGGTAATAAACTTATTATTTTAATTTTTTCTTCTTTGTTGGAAACCTGACATTTTTCTTTCAACTTAAGTATAAGTTCCTCACACTCATTACAGTCAAATTGGTTTTCATTTTGAATTTGTAAAGGGTCAGCTAAACACTCAAGGTCTTCATCTAGATTAGCATACAATTTCCTTTTTAAAGTTTCGGAAATTTTACCTACTTTGGCTTCAATGGCACTTGGCCTTTTGTCTGAACTTAATTTTCTAATCTTAGAGGCTGGTGATATACCTAAAGCAGAACAAGTCTGATCAAGAACATGAATCGTTTCTGGATTTTCAAAATTTGGATCGTTTAAACTGTCTAAAGGGTCTTCATCTCCATTGTCAGTGATCTTAAAAAGTTTCTTATTACAGGTTGAGCATAATGCTTTCCCTGGTATGAGGTTCACTTCAGTACTTTTTGGTCTATATAAGTGTGATAAAGTTATTTCCGTTAAGCACTTTTTTACAGGTTTTTTATGATGTCTTACGGGATCACAACATGTTCTGCCATAAAGATGAAAGTATTTGTCTAAAAATTTGATTTCATGGTACTTACATATATTTTCTAGGCTATTACTTGTTCTGAACTTTTATAGTCACTAATTGCTTTGATTTCTTTAGGTACATCTCCATAGACACTCTTATGACACTCTTCTTTAATATATTTTCCAACACAACACTCCATACTTAAGAATTAACCAAGACATAAAAAATCTGTTTCAAGCTAAATGGCACTACACATCCTAATGAATTGGCAGATTAAATGAGACTGACTATTTATCATAGCACAGCTCAGACTACACTTGTCCAGACACGAAAGTTGCATGTCCAGACAGGAAAGTTTCATGTCCCTGCATGATAGTTTCATGTCCCTGCATACAACTTTTATGTCCTGACACAGCTATTAGTACTTGTGACTGACTTGTTTGGATAAAAAAAGTTTAATGATGTTCTATAGCCTTCAAGACGCAAAGCAATGGGTTTATGCTAAAAACAAATTGTCTGGTTTTACATAACAAATTAGGGAACTTTTTTTTTAATATTACTTACTAAGGTTGAGTTTATTTTTCATGGAAAACTATACAACAGGGCAATATAATATTTATTTAAATATAAGATTATTAAAAATACTTCGATAGTGTGTTATATGCTTCCTACGCTATTACAGGTCTAATGCTTATTTTAGTACTACTTTCAACGTTTCACAACTTTGAAACCAGTTGAGTCCACAAAATAAAATTTTTACAGGATAATGCTCTTACTTAGTACTAAATCTGAGCCAAATTTGAAATTTTTATTTTCATGCCCAACAGAGATATTAAACATCAAAATTTGAAATTTTCAAAAATTTTAAGATTTTGAAATTTTTTATTTAAGACCCTATGCAAGTCCACAACTTGAAACTTTGAGAATTTGGAGTACACATATACAACTATCAAATAAAAAAATAACAAACACATAGTCAGTTGCCTTTATGTAAAAAAAAATGTTAAAAATCAATTTTCGTAACGCCGTCTCATCAAACTTCAAACAGGTAATTAGACCTACATATTTAGTTGAAAGTGCATAATTATATTACCATATTAAAGTTTAGATCTTTCTGAAGAGATTGGTTTTTATTTCAATGTTCTAGGATTTGTAGAAGCGGAGATATTTAATTTGACGCAGAACTCTGAAATCGCTGAAAACGGGCATTCGAGCAAAGAGAAAATGGCCGCCATACGGTTGGAAAAAATAATAAAAATAAAATAATTGTATTTTTGTACTTCTTATGATATGTACTTTCAAGGATAAAAATATGAAAAAAAAAACAAAAATCATGAAGCAACCACCTTTGGACCTCTTGAAATGGATTGACCCTTTTTACTTTCACAGACAATATGAGTCTTGCGCCATAAACAATACAGGGTTAATAGGAACTAAGGAAACCCTGTTTAAGAGGGACTGTAGAATGAAAATATATATACACAAGACTGAACAGCTCAACTATGAAAAAGCTTACTCTGGGTTAGGTTCAGGGCCTTTGTCATTTCTTCTAGTGTTAGTTTCTATTTGTGATTCAACACAGGAATTCCTGGAATGGAGTAATTAAATGTCAAAAATGATTCATAAAAAACGTAATTATGGGTGATAAAATTGAAATGAGATAGGTCCACTTTCTAAAAATCTAATTTTAAAATACAAGCCAAAAATCTGTTAATATTTTACTTGATTATAGTTTATAATATTACATTTTGCAAAGTTTCTTACTGAAAGGCCATACTATTGATGTTAAATTTGTGTTTTATTGAGTGGTATAAGCTGCAAAGCTGTGGCTGTGGTGAAAAGCTTATGAAACATTTGGTCAAAATCTATTAAAAGGGGAAAATGCCATCTTCATTAAAACATGCAATACTGTAACAACTTTAAATGTTGTCAAAAAGGGATCTCAAGCTAGAAGGAAGTGTTAGTATGACTCTGAAGCTATAAGAATATAAAATTGGGACAAGTTGTAGTTAAAAATCACTGACTAGTTCAATTATTTATTTAGGGACTTGAGGTCAACTCTTGAATGAAAACTTCTCTATTTTCACCCCACCCAATAAATAAAACATGTAATTGGAGTTTCTTCCATTTGTTTTGATTTTCTGTTTATATTTCGTCACCAGCAACCCATAAGGTCCATGTTAATTTTATTTTTATTTTAATAAATTTTTTGCTTGTTTTTGAATCTATTTTAATTTATAAAACAATTCTGCACATCTACAGGCAAATATCTTTCTAACAGTATGCGTAGATTTTCTATGTGATGCACACAAGCTGAGAAAAAGGGTTTTAAAGATACATGCTTGCCTATTATATATAGAGATGGACAAGTCCCGAACTATAGGGAACATAAACTTTAGACTATCGGGACGGAATTTCATTTGATTCCTGATTTTCTCAGAAGGGGATTTGTTCTGATTGTCAGCAATTTTGCGAGTGAAGAGTCTCTACAATGAAGTGATATATTCACGACTGCGCGCTGCAATACAACTCGTAAGGTATGTTGAAGATGGCGCCTGGACCATGAGATGTGTTGATGATGGCGTCGTGACCGCGGGGCATGTTGACGGTACATTAGAAAATTTATGATTACTAAAACTAATACTGTGTTTCTATTGGTAACCATATCAGGCCTTAAACCCTACACAGTTTTAAACATGCAGTGATAGTCTGTTGAATACCTGTTTATGGTTAGCTAGCAGTGTTTTACATCTAATTAGAATTATAATGTAAGATTCCAATTAGTCCAACATTTCACAGTTAAATTGAACCAAATATTAAATTATTTTAGGTAACAGTTTTTCTTACCCTGTATATTTTTACTCATTATAGGTTTTCTACAGAAAACCGCCACCAAAACTGCAAACTGATTTCGATTGTGATTCATAATTGTTATTTGCAAAATGTTTACTCAAGATTTTAAATCTAACACACTTTCATGGGGGGGGGGGGGAAATCCGATCCTGTCCTAAAAATTGTTAAGGAAATAAAAATCCCTCCCCTCCCGTCCTGAACGGAATCGTAGATACAATCTTGTCCATCCCTAATTATTTACTAATGATTTGTTTTATATGAAGCAATTATTCAGCATTTGACTACAAACTGACCACAAGTAAATATTAATCATACCAAAACCACAATTTTGAAATAGAAATAACCATAAAATCAAAACAATTCTTAAGCAATATTTAATCACTCACCCATCATTTGTAGGTGGTCCATGACGTGGGAATTCTGAAAATATGAAATAAATATTGTAAATTTGATTAACAATTATTTAGGTTTTAAAAGTTCAAGATATAAAAAATCAAATTATTTACAAATGTTAACAAAAATTAAATTTTAAACTACAATTTCAAAGAAGAATTGTATGAACAGAAAAAAATATGTTTGCATCAGAAGAAGTGGGCATTAATAATTAAAAAGTAAACATTGTAATATCAATGGATTTAACTTTGTATCAATCATAATACATTTTAATTGTTTAAATCTTGTAATCACTCACAATACTGACAATTCAAACATCTCCATTAAACGTATTCTTATTCTTGGGGATTTTCCTCTGAAATTTTTGAAGAGTTTAAAATTGAAAAAAAAAATTATAAGAATTATGACCTTTTTACCATGGAGGTCTTCATACAAAACAATTTTTAGAAAATTGAATATTATGACTATTCCGAATTTAATAATTTACAAAACATTTGTTAGCAGTGCAGTCAAATTTTGATGACTATATTAGTGAAAACTTTGACCACATTTATAACACTAGATTTAAGTATACTTTCCAATACCCGAGACACCGATGTAGAAAAGACTGAAGCTTGTAGAAAAAACTCCTAAATATATGGGGTAAAAGCTTTTTAATAAACTAACCACAACTCTAAAAACTATTAATTCATAATAAATCTTTTAAAAGCAGCCTTGCTGATTTTCAGACTAGTAAAAAATATTACAGTAGAACCTCGGTTAACCGAGGTAATTGGGACCGAGGGTACCTCGGATACGGCGAACCTCGGATAACACGGAACGTAACCTAAAAATCGTTACCGGGGCTAAAAATAGCTCAAGATATACTAAAACATGAACAAAAGTTATTAACTGAACTGTTGTTTAGTTTATTAGTAAAAGAAATGTTATTAGTACGCAATAAAACGTGAGAGGAAACGGTAACACTCACAATACTAAACACTGTTTTAATATAACACTCAATTTATTGCACAACTGAATACGTATGATATAGGCTACACAATGTACAGAAGTTTAGTTACAGTACAGTATTCCTGTTTACAAAATTAAATCAAAGAAATGAAAATTAATTTACTGTACATTGTACAAAAATAAACAAAGTAAGCTAATCTTTTTTCCCAAAGAAATCAGTTATTGTTTTTTGACTTAGATTAGAGGATCTTAGGCTAGCCGCCCTGTTGCGCCAGCGTCGCAGCCAAACTAAATCGTTTGTTGTTGCGGTTTCTTGTTGTTCAATGTATGCCAGTCACTGAGCTAAAATTATAACTGGAGGTAGCACTGCCATTGCAGAAGTCTGTCAAAAGCGTGTCGCTGATTTTGTTAGGTTGGTATAGCAGCAGGTTTTTTCATCCAATAACATGGCTTCTATAACTAGGTTTGCATAGCAGTGAGTTTTTTCATCCAATAACATGGCTTCATTTTAACTCACACCTCACGCAAACATGGCGGCTGGCGACACGCATCTTTGACATTCAGTGCTACCTCCAGTTAGAATTATAGCTCAGTGATGCCAGTGCTCCCTCGATCATTCTTAGACCTTCTGTATGTGATATTTTCTCAGTCGCCCCATCAGATTCATCGCTGTAAAAAAAACTTTTGTCGAATCGGGGTGGTGGGGAGAGCGAGTGGCTCAGTCGCGTCTCGGCATTGAAACAGTTCGCATTGGTCCGGCGGCGAGCGGTGTCGGGTTACAACACCTGCAGCTGCTCTGGCGAGCGGTGTCGGGTGACAGTGCCGTATGCATTCGGCAAAGATAAGCGCTAAGCTACGCAAATATTTGGCCGAGGAAACACAACAGTTGCCAACATTTTACTGTACAGTAGTTTTAACGCATTGCAGGCTAGCGTGCGTATTGCGATAAAAGGAGCACCCAAACGCTCATTACTGTACGTAGTTTGTGCGTGTTTCTTTTGCTTTTTAAATAAAAAAAATCGTTCGAGGACGGCCTCGGTTAACCCGGAGTCTCGGTTAAGCGAGGCTCGGTTAACCGAGGTTCTACTGTACAGTGTAGATTAATACAGTACCTTATCGAAACTATGAAAAAAAATCTGACTTTTATTTTGTACAAAGTTCTTATTTCTCTTAATCTTACTACCCATAGAAAATAATTTTTTACTTTTACTGTTAAGAACATTTTTCCAACTTGTTTCAATGTATTTTAGTGCATAAGACATATTATTGTATATTTTAGGTTAGTTTTTAATCGTGACTATGACATCTGTTTTTTAGCTATGCTATGATTAAAAAAAACGTTATGTGAACGCTATATGTTTATTTATTTATTTACATTCTTATTTCTTTCTTACCTTTTGACATTGGATCAGCCATCCCATCCATTCTCTGAAAAAAATAGACCAATAATTTTAAGATAAGCACAATAAATTTAAAATACCCCCACATAAGCAAGCCTACAGACTAAGCAAATTTCCATTTGCCTGATTTGATTTTCAATAAAATCTATTCAATTCTATTCGTTCTATCTGCGAGTATTCGATTTTTTGAATAGTTTGACGGTGGTCGAATAGTTCGGACCTTTTCGAATACTTCGCATCTGGTCACATAATTAGTTGGAGCTTTGGAAAACATAAAACAAATCAATTTGGCCAAAAAGGTGTTTCAAGTAATTAATAAAAATTACCATCGGGCTAAAATACGAATAGTAATCAGTTTCTATCGACTATCGAGTGACAACGTTTCATTTTCAACAATTGTGTAATCGTGTCGTGAGTTTCCGATGAAATAATGTCCTCCGCCATTAGCCAAATAAACAAGTCGGTAAAATAGTTCCGTTCTAACTTGGTTTGAAAATAAATAAAAACTGTTAAGCTGCTTCAGATTAAATAAAAATGCAATACAATATTTAATTAAAACTCACTTATATATTATTTTATTATTTTTCAACATTATTAAACTCATTATGAGCTGCAAAACACTACATTAGCATTCATCCGCCTTCATTGTTCTTGGCGATGGCAATCGGGTTCAAGTTACGTTTTGTTCTGGGATCACGGTAGACCTCCATAAATCTAGCATACGACACTGATGTGACTATTTCAAGGGAAGTAAAACTGAAAAAGTGATGGCGAATAAGATACCGGAACAAATTATACTGAGTTCTATTATACATGGTACCAAAACACGCACCGTCACCTTTATAAACTTGAAATATGATATAAACAAATGTTGTCTGCTTGATAGATTTGCCGTGATCCCAGAGTAAAACGTAATTCACACTTGCTATGGAAGTCTGCTTCTATTCTTCTGCTTCTCTAGCAGACAACAATTTCTGTTCTTTCTTTTTTCTATTGCATTAGCGCAAGCTGTGTTACAAGACAAGAAGTTTTGAGGTTGGAGTTTAGAGACAGTTTGTTTAGCACGTCTGCGCTAAGTATTTCAGCTAAACTTAGTAAAAATTGGTGTATATTTTGACAACAGTTGCTTTTATACAGATAGATATTGCCTAAAAGTTGTAGGCCTAGGCTTCATTTAAGTTTGGTTGAATGAAACCAGACGGATTCAGATGAAGAAGCCGATTTAGGCCTAAATGTGCCTTCAACATCATCACAAGAATTTTAAAAATAAGTAAAGGAGTTTAATTCACAGACAGCCAAAAAACAATCCGGAAGAGGGTACTGGCTGACTTCCACCGCTCATCATAGTTACCACCCAAAATTACTGTATTATATTTGTTTCAAACCAATGAATGTTTCTCTCTTTTTACAAATCTTGTTTTCTTTGTTATTGTTGAAATTCATATATTATTGTTATTGTAAAACTCCTATATTTATTGTTATTGTTGAAACTCATATATTTATTGTTTGTCGTTCATTTATTTTTTCACTTACTATTCTTGTTTGTTGTTCTTGTTCATTGGTTATTATTTAAAGTTCTGCTTTGTGTACGTCTATTTTGATAGCCTACTGCTCAAATTGTATTTACTTACTGCATGTCTTTGTCAAAAATTATTTTTGTATGTATATGTTTAAGTTAGATTAAGTCATGTATACAACATATTGTAAATTTGTTCTTGACCGTTGGAAGGTAAAATAATAACAGGGTGGCTAGTGAAATCACATTGAAAAATTCCCTGACTTTTCCCTGACAATTCCATGATTTATTTAAACTTTCCCTGATCGACAAATTCAACATTACAATTTTAATACTAACTAATTCTTCAAAAGGACTAATCTTTATCTGAAGAATATCTTATGTTTGTTTATATGAAAAACAAAAACATACATAAAATCTATAGATACAGGCTAGCTTATATTCAAACTTTGCAACTTACCTTAATAAAATTAAACTTGGTTTGATAAGATGATACGCAGTTTATAACAAAATTTAATTTGTACAAAAACACAAAATTGATTTGTACAGACATATTTCTTAGTTTCCACCCACATGGCACACGTACTCTCACCAGATCGACCTTTCCTAACAATTATTAAAGTTATTTTAAAGCTTTTACAATTTTCCCTGACTTATGACAAAATTCCCTGACTTTTCCATGACTTTTCCAGATATTTAATATTCCCTGACATTTCCAGGTTTTCCAGGTATTCCAGGTCACTAGCCACCCTGAATAATAATAATAATAATTTGGAATTTTTTTTGCAAAAAGGGCTCTGTTGCAGAATGCAACACGTGTAAAAAGTCCTTAAAAGTAGGTTAAAAGTTAATAATTATACATTTCCTATGTAACTTAATGAACTCAGTTTAAGTTTAAGTTTAAGTTAGCCTACGGTACATTTAGGCTAAAAGGGGCTTAATTATTTCAATCGAAGATTTAAACTAGGTACTGTAAATGGTTAAATATAAGGCCTAGGTTCTTGTACCTTCAAACCTAGTTGTCCCGTAGCCTAAGACCAAGTCATGAGATTAGGCTATGTTAAGTTATGACAACAAGTTTTATTTTAGGCATACCTTTTTAAAGTTTATGTTCTAAAACATAAACTTAGGGCTGACAGTAAGTTGTAGGCCTAAATCCCTACTTAGTAAAAGAAAACAATGTGCGTTTTTATTTGGTTATAATGATTATCACTGCCCAATTGGTTGAATGTGTTTTACAAAATTTGTTATTGGTAGTGCTTTATAATTTTGACTAATAAAACTTGGTTCAGGTTTGTACCTTTACTTATTATAAATCTAAGTTCAGTTACCTATTGAATTAAACTAGGCCTAAATTAAATAAACAAAAGATACTAGGGATGGACGGATCCCGAAATTTCGGGAATTTTTCGGGAAAAAAATATTCCTGATTATCGGGACGGGATTACCTTTGATTCGGGAATTTTTCGGGACGGGATTTGGTCCGATCGTCGGCGATTTTGCCGCTTCGCGAGTGCCGATGACGCCGCTATTGCGAGCGATAGGTCTGCGAACGCAGGAGACGAAGTCATTTCGACGATTGTGCCGTGGCCGCGGAGTCATAACGACGATCATGCCGTGATGGCGAGTCATACCGACGATCGCGCCGTGACCGCAAGTCATACCGACGATCATGCCGTGACCGCGAGTCATACCAACGATCACGACGTGACCGTGGAGTCCTGCAGACGATCGCGCCGTGACCGCGACTATTGGACCGACGATCGCACCGTGACCGCGAGTCATACCGACGATCACGACGTGACCGCGAGTCATACCAACGATCACGACGTGACCGTGGAGTTGCCGACGATCGTGCTGTGATCGTGAGTCATACCGACGATCATGCCGTGACCGCGAGTCATACCGACGATCACCCCGTGACCGCGAGTCATACCAACGATCACCCCGTGACCGCGGAGTCATACCGACAATCACGCCGTGACCGCGGAGTCATACCGACTATCGCGCCATGACCGTGAGTCATACCGACGATCATGGCGTGACCGCGAGTCATACCGACGATCACCCCGTTACCGCGAGTCATTCCGACGATCACCCTGTGACCGCGGTCATTTTGACGACCGCACCGTGACCACCGGTCATTTTGACGATCGCACCGTGACCGCCAGTCATTTCGACCGCGAGTCACAAGTTTCTATAGGTACCTGTAAATTGTTAACCATTTTTTGGTTTTTAATAAATCAGTGCCACAAACGGTAAAAATTGATTTTGTATGTCTTTTTTGGTAACTGCAATACTCAAGACATTCTTTTTATGCACAGAAAAATATCCCGTCCCGTCCCGAAAATCGGGAAGGAAATAAAAATCCCGTCCCGTCCCGAACTAAAAATTCAATCCCGTCCATCCCTAAAAGATACATTTACAACCTACACTTATTCTGAAAAAAATATACCAACAGTTTTAGTAATTAAGTTATTGAGAGTTGACTTGATATTGATTTCAAGTTTTCATTATTTGAGGGTTAGTATTCGGATAAAAAATGTTCACTATTCTAATACTATTCGAGGGAAAGTATTCAATTTGAAATTCTCTCTATTCGATTCGAAAAGAAAAAGTAGTAATCGCACACCCCTAGTAATTACAAATAGTAAGTCTATCGCGATCACGGTAAATATAATGTATTTCCCACAGTAACAGAAACGTCATCCATCACTGTCTCCTGCAATAGCGGCAAAATCCTGAATATCTCCTGCCGTTTGAAGACATTATTGTTGTCTCCCGTGGTCACGGAAACGTCAATCTTCCGAAATCATGGCAAATTCCTGAATATCTCACGTGGTCGTGTGGTCATTATCATTGTCTTCTGCAGTCATGGAAATGTTATCATTGTCATCCGCCATCACGGCAAAATCATAGATAGCCTATCTCCTGTCACAACGCAGACGCGTTTTGCAATCGTAAAAGCTGGGCTTGAGCTCAATTTTCCATCTTTGTGCTTGATCTCTCAAGCTTGTATGTAGGCTAGGCTCAACTACGTTCAAAAATTGAGCTGCTCACTAGCTTACCTCTATAAGTTTAATAAATGTATGGGGTATGCAATTTTGTTGGTGAATATTACAAAAATTACAACAGATTTATAAAGTAAACACCGCATATTTAATAAATGTATAGTGTTGAGGAGAGTATTAAGTGATTTAGATATGTGCTTTTAAGTCTAGGTATTTAACAGTTCAGGATAGCATGCTTAACTAAAGGTACTATCAATGACAGTAAAATATTTTAACAATTACTACATAAGCATTTTCTTCCTAACGCCAACGCCTTTCCTAATTTAGGTAAGAATGCTATCCTTACCTACTAATTTACTAACCGTTAGTTACATACACTTGATACTACTTGTATTACTCACCGGTGGGAACATCCCTGGGCCTTTGCCTGGTGGTCCTCTCCTATTTTCATGGTCTGGTGGAGGTCTGCCACCGTAGTCCATTGGAGGTCTTCCTCCGGGACCTGCAAAGTCATCACCAAATGGTGGACCAGGACCGAACCTATCATCTCTATTGCTTCCTCTACCTCCCAAGTTGTCAGGTCCTCTAAAGTCAGGATTTTCAGGTTCATCAAAGTCACCAAAGCTTCCTCGTCCTCGGTCAGTTCCGCCCCCTCTGCCATCACGACCGAACCTTGGTCCTCGCTCACCATCAGGACCAAACCTGTCATAGTTTGAGAACGGATCATCGTTTTCTCGATCACCAGGGTAATGCCCCGGGCCATCGTATCTCCCGGGTGGTCCATCTGGTTTTCTTCCAGGAGGACCGCCAAACTCACGACTGGGTGGGCCGTCAAACCTGTTATGAGGTCCATCAAATTTTCCAGGTGGGCCCCTAAACTTGCCTCTATCTCCTGCATTTTTGTCAAAGCGATCCATTCCCCTCGGACCCCCTCTGTCATCGATTTCAGGCCCCATGTTGTTGTATCCTCTGCCTGGAGGACCAGATCCAAATGGACCTCCTTTGAATCTATCAGGGGGACCCCCTTTGAAATTAGGAGGACCTCCGTATCTATCCTCCGAGTCATTGTACTTTTCTTCGTCGTTGTTCTCTGCAAACGGATCATTTTCATATTCATTTTCTTCACTGTAGTATTTTTCCCACTCTTTAAGCTTATCTTGAGTTTTTCTTTCTAGGTTTAAGTTTGGCGGGGCTTGATCTGGATCAAAACCGTCCATTAAACTTGGCAAGTTCTTTTGGTTATTAGGACCAAAATTTTTCCTTGGCTCATTTCTGTTTTCAGAAAAATTTGGTTTTGGCGGGAAGTTTCCTTGGTTCTGATTAAATGGTGGACGATTATTGAATTGGTTGCTCCCAGGACCAGGAGGGGGTCCCTGCATGTTTGGAGGTCCTTGCATGTTTGGAGGTCCTTGACCCATGAAGGGAGGACCACCCCTCGGTCCAAACCCTGGTGGTCCAAAGTTGTTCTGTCCTTGCATATTTGGGGGCATAAAGTTGTTCGGTCCACCTTGAAAGTTGGGGGGCCCTGATGGAAAATTGTTCGGCGGGCCTTGAAAATTCCCTTGATATCCTGGAGGGCCTGACTGGTAATTCCTTGTTCCTTGTTGGCTATTATCTTGACTGGGTGGAGGAAAGTTAAACGGGTTCTTGTCGTCAGAAGAGTGCATCAACGGCTCAGTCACAGGCACCTGGGGAGGTTTTTTGCCCCTCTCTTGGTTGTCTCGTGATTCAGCTGACCTTCCACCTCCTCCAGCAAGAAGATCTAGGCCGGGAATACCTTTAGGAGGAGCTCTTTGGAAACTTGGCGGAGGTTCATTCATTTTAAGGGGTGCATTCTGGTCTGGGACCTGTAATTAAAATTACTCAATGAACTAAACAGTAGAGAACTAATACGGTAATATTATTGCAATACATTATACAGATTCACATTGGTAGAACAGTTAAATATTTGAGTTATATTATATTTCAAAACATAGTGGTTATAAACCTGTTACTTTTTTTTTTTTTTTTTTTTTTTTTTTTGATGCCTGTTATAAAAACAAACTAGTCTTGTCTCTTTTTACTAAACCTGTTCTTACTGTAAATAAAAACTACTTCTTTAAGTCTATTACACAGCTCCTTAGTTTTTTTTATTCACTTTTAAACATAAACCAAACATAATTTTTTTTGTTTTATATTATCTACTGTCATATGTTTATCACATTCAAACACTTTACGGGAATTATTTGTTTGTGTCAAAATCGTATATTATTGTATATAGTTCATATATTTATTCTCTGTTAATTTTGTTGTTGCCATTTTGTTACCGGTAGATTTACAAATTCTATACCTTGTTATGTTTGAATATGCTGTATTGTAGCACTAAATTTAAGACTGTGATCAACATCTTGGGAACTAATTTATGTTTTAGAATAATTAAGGACAGACAATAAATCAAGACGAAGCACCTGTACGTGTGATTTTCACAAATTTGTATGTTATGTGCAAATAAATCATCATTATCATCATTATAATAAAAATCTTTTTCCAAGTATCAAGGTTCCAATCTCCACAAGCAGGTAGGCGGCTAAAGCCACAATTATTTACAAATGCTATGTATACAAATGGTTTGAAGAGCTTATTTCACTCACAGATAAGTCTGGTGGCATGACTGGTGGATGGTTGACCAGGTCAGGGTTCGCTCCCACCATCCCTCCCACAGGAGGCACTCCCATCATCCCTGGGAAGCCGTAGCCCTGGTAGCCTGGGCCTGGGAAGGGTGCTGGGAAGCCTGCAGGAGGCATGATAGAGGGTGGAGGGTAGCCCATGGTGGGGAACATCTGACTAGCCGCAGTTGCAGGAGTGGTGGTCACACTCGCGGCACTCTTGGAAGCTTCTGCTGCTGCGGTGTTAGTAGCTTCTGCCAACTGAGCAGCCTGAAATCAACAGCCGTGCACATTTAAATAGTGAAATTGCCATATGATATATCTATTGCATACTATACTAGTGTGAGGATTAACAAATTATCTGGATTTGGTATACACCCTGTCCCTTACAGATGCAATCGAAAGACAGTGTGTTTTAGCATTACATAAGCGGAATAGCTTTATTCCTTATTTGCAGGCTTAAACTTCATACGCATACAGAATTTGCATCTTCCACGTAGGCCTACAAGCATTTTGTCAATTGTATATTATTACTCACATCTGTAAATGAACACTTTGAACACAAATAAAAAATGTGCAAGGCCATCAGTCCATCAGTAAACCTTTCTACACTTTAGTTTCAGCATCATCAAATCGTATGGCACAAAAGAGAAACAAAAATCATTTAAAGTCATAGTACTACGAAAACTGAATGTCTCGTTCAGTCCTATCAGTAGCAAATAAGGATTGCACATCCTCGTGGCTTTATTTTAATACACCTGATAAGTAGCATAATGAGTGCCTTCATTTCAACTCTATCTGTATGATTCGTAAACTGGCAATCGAAGGCATTTTCTCTTTAGCAAGAAGCCATCTGTGTTATCTTCTGATTAATATGTTATACGATTTTGTCCAACAAATCATCCATCAGTTATAAGAATTCTCCAAGTATCAATGGGGGTTGATAGTTTTTTTGTTCTTTTGCGTTGCCTATGATTCCTCAAAATTGTGTCATAATGTTTGAAGCTTGGGTTCGGCTCAATGCAGGAGCTGCCTTAGCCTACTAAAATCTATTTTTTCCATAGTCAAATTGTCAAATCATCATCATCAACAAAGGTCTCATCAGCTTGTCCTCTGCCATTTTCTCTTCCTACACCTTGTCCTCTACTTCTCCCTTTCCCACTTCCTCGTTCATGATCATGTCCTCGACCATGTACAATATACAATGTACTTCATCTATATCATCATGTCCAATAAGGGGACGATGTAGCACTTTCCTCACTGGTTGTGTCATAGTCCGAGTGATATAATGGAGCGTCAGAACAAATGGACATCATCTTAAAAAAAATTATAACTTTGTTCATCGTTCATTTTTTTTTGCACTAATGAAACAATCATATCAGCCCTCTAAACTCTTAACTCAAAAACTATTTTCCCACTATTAAATAATCACAGTATGTAGCGGAGTATAGATAGGTCACAAATAAACAACGAAAAATTACATTAGTAGTATGGCTGCAAAGTATGGCTCTTAGGACCCAAATACACAATAACAACATACAACAGTCAAGGTCAATTCTCAACTGACACTGGGTGCAAGTAAGGCGGAAGAGTACCTAAAATGCTACTGACCTGCACTCTCAAGGATATTAAAATAACTCAATCACAACCAGACCATACCAGTTAATGGCTAACCTAGGTTCTTGTGTCTATGTTACATAATTGATTGTGCAGGATGTCTACAGGTAGTTGTATCTTACCCTCTCCTCTGCTAGTTTTTGCTCCCTCTTCCTCTTCATCTGCTCCCTTCGCTGTACAAGCTGTTCCCTCCAACTCTCCCACTTAGCTTCGTACTCTTTGTACTGCTCCTGTCAAACATACAGTAACAGATTACAACTCAAATCCTTTAACACTTGTGGCTTGATGACAACTGTTGTATGTTGTAATATGTTCAACATTTTTAAAAACCTCCCAAAAGATTTATATTAGAATGGTAAATAGTGGCAAAGAAAAGGTAAAAGCCGATCCTTAGTTAAAAGATCCACTACCATTGTACAACAATCACCCTTCTCTTGCATTGTTACCTCTTTGTGTACCAATAGACTTGAGATTGCTCAAGTATCTTCAACTAAATCATCTTTACTGGCCTGCCTAGAGCTAGCTTTTTGCAGTTGTTATAATAATTATCACTATTGCCTCTTAACACTACCTAATACTAACCTTATCAGGGTGATTTATATTTTGTTCTTTCCACTTCATAAACTGCGCTTCCCAGTTTTTGAACTGTTCGTCAAAAGCTTTTTCTTGCTCAGCCATTTCTTCCAAAGTCTCCTAAAGAAGAATATTAATCAAATGTAATATTTAGTTTAAGACTGATCCTTACATTTTTTATTTATCAAACTAAAAAAGGTATATTAGAAATTGAAAACTATATATCAGTATAAAGCGCTTACATACCTATAAAATATTATGATACATAAAAATTTTGTGAGTTGGAACTAAAAAAATAATTTGATTTGTATTTTGTATCTGTTAGCCCCAGGCTGGACTAACTTGCTCAGGTAAGCTAGCTAAACTCTGTCTCCTTTTCATTATTCTAGTTTGAGTTTCTATAATTCAGATCTGATTACCTCGTGAAATCTAAGATACAGATCATGTTTATTTGAACAATACATTATACTTTTCAAAAAATAAGTAGACATAATTTAAATGTCACAGTAGAGAAAGGATTTACCTTTGTATCTTTTTTGGCTTTTTTGCTGGCTTGTTGAGGACTGGCTGTGTCAGTATCAGGTTTGCCTCCTTCATATCCTCTCTTATTACTTTTGTCCTAAACATTACAACAGACATTTAATATTTGCAAATAATATTTTAGTATGCCTTTTACAACTTAAGCTCTAACAGAATGTTTTATTTTAAGGACTTTTAGCAAATAATCTTGTAGCATTATTCTCAATGGTCTTGTATTCTAGGGTAATCTTGTGTCAGTTTATTGCAGTACCGTATAACAAAACTGTAGATCAAGTGGCCACAGTGTAGAAAGTGATTAGAATATAATGTTGATTAAAGCCATAGTATAAAACCACTGATGCAGCAACATGTGGATGAGGTTTAAAATAGGAAAACCGTAATGTTGTTTGGCTATTAAGGAGTAAAACCAAATAATGTACCACCAGAAAATGTAAACCAAATGTAAACCAGATAATGTAAACCAGAATGTAATACTTGACCAATCCTTTAACTTAACTTAGGTAAGGTTAGGTTAGGTTGGTTAGGTTAGTTTATGTTAGGTTAGGTGAGTTAAAGGAATTGTCAAGTTTTACAATAGGTAGGCCTACAGAGTTTCTAATACAATTCAGTTACAGACGACCACACATTTACGTATTCAAATGGTTTGTTAAGATGTTGTCAAACTATTAATTTCGGCTTTAGAGAGTGTTTAGACAAACAATTTTATCATAGATTCTTACCTTGTTTTTATCAATTAATTTTATATCAAGGCTTTAACTTTTAATTTTCTTATTATAAACTAAGACAAGAGCACAAATATATGAAAGGAAAGAATATACTGTGGATTTTAAAATAAAATGCACTTATATTTACTGAGCTTTCATCAGATTTTAATAACTTCTTTTAGTTTTAGTTGCAAGAAAAATGATTAAAAATTACACTTTTGAATGGTAAATTTAAAAATTACCTGGGATGAAGAATCTCCAGCCGCTCTGTAAAAACAAAAATAATTTTAACATTTATTTGTTTTAATAAACAAATTTATCAAATAACTAAAATGAGATAATCTCTGTACAGTTATGAATTTGTTTAGGCCTATAGTTATTAATAGGCCTTAACACTAAAACAGTTTTTTTTTTTTTTTTTTTTTTTTTTTTTTTTTTATCTAGTAATGTAATACAGAATGATAATTCTTTAAATAAAAGAGTAAGTTTGATATTCATCTAAATAGTAGGCCTATGCTTTACAATGAGAGTAAGATGATACATGTTTATAAAATGGAACATGAGAACTAAACAATGTCATGTTTTACTACTGTACTTTCATGAATTATATAAATTTCAGATTTCAGTTCATAAAACTCAATTATGTAGGCTAACTGAATAATCTTGGAAACAAATTAGCCTATGTGTGTACAGAAGTTGATATTGTAAAAGCATCACTTACCCCTTATCTGTGCCTGGGAGGGGAGGGGCTCCAGTTGCAGTCAAGGGTGCCACTCCGGCAGCTGTAGGAATACCTCCCATCGCCATCATGGACTGGTACTGCCAACAAAATAAATGCCATTAGAAGGAGGTAATATATATTTTCACAATAAATGGCATTTCAGATATATTTAATTTTTAATATTTTCAGACCATGTTTGTCTTTAATCAATACTTGTTTTTCAATCAATACCTCTTTCTCCCTCTCTCTAATTTAACTGTTCTGTTTCCATTTAACTCTCTCAGATCTCCGTATATTTACAGTTAGTAAGAATTGTATCTTTAAACAAAATACAAGTACAGGTTAGCTGCAAGCAAATTTTCTTGAAGTTTTTTTGCCAATGTTTTATATTGTAAGGCTTTTATAGCGTTCCAGAATAATAACTTTAAAATAATGCAATTGATATTGGAAGGTTTTAAAATCATGGGATCAGTCCACTAATGTCATTGATCAGTTCAAATCAAAGGTTTTAGACCACTAAAAAACTGCATTGGGTTTAAAGTATTTAAGGATTTGACGATGGAAGAAGTTGCAATTTTGATTAAACAATTTTATTGGAAACATTTAAGAATCCATTAAATTTACGGGTTACCCTTCTTTCTAGCAATTCTTTTAGCACAAATCAAAAGATTCGTTTGACTTTGTTGACAACATCATTGCTTGATTTTTACAAGCCTAAACAATCTCTAAGCTTAAAAGGAACACTTGACAAAATGTAAGTATATATAGTGATAATTTCTGGTTGTAGTTTTACTATTGAAACTCCAGTATAAAATGTTACCTAGGGTTGTCTACAGAATGTAAACTAGTTATAAAATCAGCTGCAACCCACCTTAAACTTTTTAACCATCTCAGGAGTCCACTGGTGTGGATGCACAACACAAAACACACAACTCAAAACACCACAAAACACATGCAACACAACATCACTCACACAGACAATCAACACAATACAGTAACAAAAGATCTGATCAGTCGAGGTAATTCTAGCTTATTGAAAATATACCCAGATAACTTGAAAATGAGGTTCCAATTTTTCCATAATATATCATTTTAACGTTTCTGATATTAAGTTATGTATTTGTCTTCCTTTCAGGAGGTGGTAAACTTGAAAAAATGTGTTATTTTGAGTAAGTTACTTTAATTTGTAAACTAATTTAAGGGTAAAAAATTGTTCAGGAAATATAATAATTGAGAAAGTCAGAACACAACCGACGCTCTGGTGCATAACAAGGTACACAAACTGAAGACTCTCAGTTAATAACATTTAGTACAAATGTAGACCTACTGAAAAGGACATATAAAAACCGGGAATGGAAAATACTGAAATATAAAGGTCTCAGGAACTTGTACTGAATACCATAGTATTATGATTGTGATAAGTAGACCTAAAGGAATGTGATGTCACGGTCATGTGTGTAAGAAGAAAGGAAGATGCAAGAGAACGGATGTAATAGTTAGGCCTACGATTGGAAATCCTCAAGATTAGGTGATCTGATAACATTAGGTGATGATTTCAGTAATGATATTCCTTATAGTGGCATTATTTTAACCACAATGAGAAAGCATCGATTTAAAATCAGCCTAATGATAAATAAACAATAGCCTAGTGATGATTAAGTACACAAAAATTCTTGTCAACGGTTATTTTAATTTTAATGGGCTAAATTCTAGGCAATTATTGTGGGGATTTCTCAGGTGTTAATGTCTTTCAAGCATTTTACACTTGATCCTTGACTGCTTATAACTCCCAAAGGACATAACACCAATAAATCGACTACCACAGTGTAGTTAAACTCACCTTGTCACCATACTGTGCTTGCCATTGGGCATACTGCTGCTGCCATTGCTCCCACTGCTGCCATTGCTGTTGCTGCGCTGCAGTGGTCGCTGTCATTGGCCATTGTGCTGGTGGGTAAGATCCTCCTGGCACTGCCTACAAAAAAATACAGTTTGAGAGAAATTAAAATTTTTTTCTAACATAGCCTTCGAGCAAACTAATCCAGCAATGTAAAGAGAGTTAGAAAGTTATTAAATGGCTTTTAATAGAGCTGTTGGGTAAGGCTAAACTCTAACTCTGTAGTGTGAACAAAATGGTAAATAAATCCCTTTTGAACATCAAACAATGGCACCTACATTGTTTGATAAACGTACAACTGTGTTTGATTTTCGTCAACAACAAAAAATGGGTTTGTCATTTAAAACTATCTTGGGGCTATAGAAATAAATTAGTTGATTAGGTTAGTAGGCCTAATCATAATTTTTGTTTCTTAGCAGCTGTTTTATGAACCATTGGTTAAAAAAACAACGGTAATGGTACAAGTCAACAACGGCAACGGTGAGCTCCTTATCATGGAAAATCTGGCAATATCTCACAATTGCTGTGACATCCGTGTCTAAGGCAATATCACTGATCATTCCCTGCAATTGTTAGCCTTTAACTTTCTCGACCCAACAAAGCAAAATGAGAACAAACGACGATTAATGGCATATTTTATGGAGATTATTTAAGATATGAAATTTAAAAGTCCCAAAAAGATTCATATATAGGCTGAATCAACAATTTTTGTTTCAAAATCTATGTACGATTCTTAGTTTATTCGGTATCCATGTTCACTAGCCACCCTGCTTACAACTAGGCCTTAAGATATAATTTGGTGTGGACAAAACTTTCAATTGGTTCACATCGAGAGAATAAGAGGATAGAATCAGAGACCTACAAACTATAAATCCTTGACTCAGCAAGAAACAAGAATCTTAAGTTAAGTCCTGGCCTGGACTTATAGATCCTTGACTCGGCAAGTCAAATTTTAAAATCCAGAGTCTAACCAGCCAAATAAGTTCCAGAGTCTAAAGTTCTGGACTTCGCTAACGCCCTGACTCAGCAAGCCATTTTTTAGACTTCAGAATCTAAAGCCGGTTTAAATCTAGAACTTAGCTAATCCCGAGCTCAGCTACCGGCTCTAAGACTATTTAACTATTTTATTGACTAAATTAACTTAAACAATTATAGACAGCTTAAAGAGCTGTTTCTAAATTGTTTTGTACAGGAAAGACTTCTTAGTTAAGTCACTAACAAGACTAAAAGATCACGCCCCACTCATACTACACTCTTCTCCATTCATACTTTGCTTAAAATACCAACATTTGTATGGTTGCCTCACCATTTCAGATTAAAGTATTTGCCGTGTTTAAAGATGACATCTATCAATTTAGATTTACTTGTAGATTATGAGCAATTTATGCTCATCGAAAAAGTAATAAGAGGAGGTATTTCCCAAGTAGTAACTTGTTTCAGTAAGGTAAAGAACAATTACATTAATAATGTATTCCCAGGTGTTAATGACTAGTGATGATTTTGAATCTTATTACTAATGATGTGTCGGTTCCATTTTATAACTGTTGGGTTCTTGGCCAAAAACGGTTAAACTCAGTTCCTGGTTCCTAGAACTAGGGGTGCTGCATTGTCATAATAAACAGCCATTTGCATGTATGAAGGCAATTTTACAACAAACTGTCTAATAGTTCCGCATACTTTAATATAAATAACTTATATGGCTAACTAGTACACAATGTCTCAGAGTATGCCTTTCCCAATTATCAGCCCCTTCCCCTATGAATCGAATAATATTTTAATCACCATATAATTGAATCTTGATTTGATGCATCAAGTAGAATCAAATTGGAATTTCTATAGTTTTTTGATCCTTTGCACACCCCTTTTATAATTATTAATGGAATCATTTATGCTGTAGTTTGTAAACAATTCTGCAAGACTATAACTACATGATTTTAAAGCTCTAAACAAAAAATAAAAACAGTTACCCCAGGCATAGCTCCGGCAGCTCCATAGTAGGGATAACCCATTGGTGTTTGACCCATGGGGAACCCTGGCAAAGTTGCAGCTGGTGTAGATGCACCAGCAGCTGGAGGAACAGGCGGCACTGGTGGAGTGGGAAATGTTGATGCTGGATAGGTGGCAGCATTGGTGGCCGCAGCAGCAGCCCCCCACTGACCCCAGTTGTTCATAGTGATTTATAAACTCTGCACAAAAGAAGTAAAAAACTGAAGTTTAATTCTAGAATGATATCCTTGACAAGGATCTGTGAAGTAGGTAGGCGACAGATTTGCTAAAAATCTTCATCCACCCTTTAAGGAAGGTATAAGTTAAGAGTCACTAGATAAAATCAAGGTAAATGATTAACCTCCTGTTTATTTATTCTCCATAAAAATAATATAATAAAGGCCTATAGGGATTAAAAATGTAGTTATTTTTTACCCAACCGTTAAGCATCCAACAACGCTTAAGGCTACTAGAAGTTATAGGGTATACTAAATTATTTGTTTTTTGTGTAAAAAATAATCCTGAAAGAAATTACAAAACTTTATTTTTTCGCGGATCCAAAAAATGGAAAAAAACAATCTTACACCCATATAATTATATCTTTATAATATTACTAGCAGAGTACCCGTCCTTCGTACGGGGTTGGCATATAAGTATAAATGCTTATTGTAGTTATGGGAGAGGACACGGTTTAAGAAAATTTTGTCTTTTAATTTATACGGTATCCTATAGTGTCCTACAGTATCTACCATATAGCCCTAATTTTCTACCACTGCACCTAAACCATGAAAAAAAGTTAAGTTCTCATTGTGTACCACAACTTTTTGTTGCTAGTTGGTTAAAATTAGCGTTAGTATTTTTCGCGTTTACTTGTCACAAACATCCATCCATCCATCCATACATCCAAACTTTCTTACTTATAATATTAGTAGGATAAGTAAACTGTTGTAATATTGCTTGTTTATGGATCAATTTTTATCAAACTTGGCAAATGTATTTATTTCATAGTAAGCTAATGATATGTTCCTTAAAATCACACTTCGTTGCCCTCCCTGTAGGCAGCACAAACCTAGGTACTCGTTAAACCTAATGTTATCGTTGGTGCAATTAGTAGCGCCATTTGAACAGCTACTGCAAATCAGCGCTACTATTCTATTTGCTAGCAGCTATACCCGGGCCTTGCATCGGGGTCAGTATGCAAAAGAGACAATGTTGGTTCTTAGAAACATGCCAAATGGTTTTCCAAATGCCAAATTTAGAAACAAAATTTAACTGTACTACTTAACTTGATAATAGTACGTTTTTGTTAAATCTTACTGTGATTACTTATTTATGCTACCTACCATACAAAACCAAAGATAGATTTTAAGGTATAATAAAAGAATGTATTTCATGGTTTGCACTGTAAACAAAAAACTATCACAATAAACCTCATAAAACTCAGAATAAGAGCCTAGATTGATAGGGCAATGATTATAGAA